AAGATGGGATTGATGTTGCAGGATGCGCCGACGAGGCCGTGTGCGCAGGGTTCGGCTAGGGAATAGGGAGTACAAGAGTGTCGTGTGTTGGGGGGCCGGAGTTGACTTCTTGACTCTTGAGAATCTTGGATACGAATATGTCGGGTCGAGACTTTGAGTACGGATACCTCTGGCTCTGGGACAAGGTAACAACGGACAAGCTAAGGTTAGGTGAGGTAAGGTAGGGCGGGTAGGAGATGCAAGTATAATAAGTCGGGTCTATTGTTGAATGTTCCGCGTTACTAACGTGCTAGCGGAGGCATGCACATGTGGCCAGAGATTCGCATCGGCAGAGAGATTAAGACACGAGGAAGAGACGGGAAATGCCGTTCAAAAAGGGGGCGCTCTGCCAGTCTCTATTAATTTAGCAGGCTCTCAGTCCTCTGTGAAGTCGTGTCAGGCAAATAGCAGTCCCTTGTCAAGAGATTCTCCTCTTGGATGCAGATACACGATGTACTCCGTGCGGAGTACCTAGGCCAAGGAAACACCAGATACATCCTGCGTACTGCAGGCCCCACGGAGAACTTCCATGTTATAGGTATGGCAGAAGTACCCTTTTCCTCACAAGCGCTGGCTGGCTTGGTCAGGGAAAGAGTCCGCAGTGAATGCCAGAAGACATGGCTCCCATCCTCTCCATCTTCTCTTCCCCCAGGCATTGAATTAGAGGTACCTTACCTCTCGTGATGGCGCATGTAGCTAGCCTGTAGCAGGCGATGTGTTGCATGGGGAGGGGTAGGGGGGAACATGATGGCGATGGGGTTTTTCATTGTGGGTGGGGGCAAAGGACGAGCAAGCAGGGGATACAAACGGGCTACTGTGTTATACGGTAACCAAGTATGGATTCCTTGCTGTGTACGGAGAGGTTAGCTCTGAACTAACGGGCTGGCAGGGCAGAACTCGGTCAGAAAGCAGAATTGCGTTCGTCAAAGAAAGGAAACAGGGGAGCCCCCGCTTTGACAGAGCTGTAGCTGCAGACGTTGCTGATCTGAGTTGTCGGCACACTCAGTCTATGGCAGCGGTCAGTGACCGAGGGGAAATGTAACTCTCCTGAGAACCCAAACCAAGGAGAGGCGCCTTTGGTTGCACACCATGGCAAAGTCAAGCTGTAATTGGGGCCCTGTTTTTCCCCTGGGTAATATTCTGTCCACCTGAGTACAACCGTACCATGCCACCGCCCACTTGACTCTCAAGTACCTTATCCATAGCGTGCTGTATGCGTAGCAAGGTTCCCGTTATTGGTGGTGGAGAGAAGCCTCGGGACTCGGAGGACCCCCGCCAACGGTGGCTGTCGCAGAAAGCGTGGCAGTGAGGGGATGTGAAGCTGGCTTGGCTTGGCTTGTCTGCCGTCTAGGATACGTCCGGGATCTTGGTGATATAGCATCGAGTGTCGGGGAGTTGGGCCAGCTGGATCGGCGACCTGCCACTAGTGTAGTAACTGGCATTCACTGACTGACTGGCTTTCTACCACGCCGCTGGTTTACCTTTTGCATCTGGCCCCATGGTTTGGTTCATTGTGTACCCTTCAGCTGGACCCAAGTCTATGGACGAGGGCTGCTGACGGGCGGACGCTTATACTGCGGGATGATAACGGGATCAACGACTCTGGAAGACGACATCGAGCAGAAAGAAGAATATAATGGCGGTGGGATACCGTTCTCTCTGGCCGCATTCATCATGTCGAAATCTGCCACTCGGGAGTCTGATTGACGGCGCGGAGGAGTCGGCAGAGTTGAGTTTCGACGGCAGTAACTACGAGTCTACGAATACCCACACGACACAGTGGACGGAGTAGAGTACGTACAAGGTACGGAGAACATACAACGTGTAATACCTACCTACTAGCGCTGCCGTCTTTGGACGGTTTCACTGCACACTCAAAATTGACAGCCATTGAGGTCTGGACAGCTACTTCCGGAACGGACGCCGGACCTGTCTTGGCATCTACGTACTGCAGGTACTCTTTCCTGAGGCACCTCAAGTTCTCTCTCGTCACCTAGGCAGGTAGGTACCGCACACACGCTTCAAGTACCGTGGTAAGTACCTTTCTATAGGTAGAGGAAGGGACTCATCACTGCTCTTTTCTCCGAGACCTCGGCCTCTTCCCCGTAGTGTACGGAGTAGCCTACTAAGGTATGTTAGACTTCAAGCTACGAGTTTACCTTACTATCAAAATGAGGCACCTCTGAAGACACAGCTCAGAACATCCGTACATCATATCATTAAAGATCCACTGAATGATGACAACTCGGTATCTCCTTGCCTCTTCGATAGACTTCCCACGAGACGGCGGCGTGAAGCCGAGACAACATGCTGAGACATTGGCATATTGTCCCCGTATCTGCACTGCCTGAGGAGACATGTGCCGGCAAGACATCCAAACAGCATGGTGGGTTTGTCTGCTTATTGCCAGTTGGTGACTAAGATGCAGGGAACAGGTGAGCGGCGCGGCCCCCAACGAAGAGCGACATCCAAGACAAGATAAAACAAGACAAAGCTGGGCCCACGAGTGTCTGTTTCGAGCGCATGGCTGGCGGGAAAAGCAAACATGGCTGGATGGATCCCCGGAATGCACATGACCTTCTGGCCTGTCCTGTCTTACTCTGACTCTGACTCTCTAGACTACCACCTGCGCTTGGGCGGCATTGATGGGCTCGACTGTGACGGAGATTTTGTCTGCCAATCTGAATCTGCCAGACTAACATTCCGGTTCGGACCGTTGGCAAACCCTCTGCCTCAACGCAAGTTGCAACTATCGTCTTGTCGGTGCAGAAATGCTGCATCCGCTCGTTAGCAGAAAGTGAAAGTCGCGTCACGCCAAGCCATTGACAGAAATCCCGTCATCTCAAGAGTCCAGACAGCCAACAACAACCGACAAGCTCAACCTTGAACCCACAACCCAATCCAACGGACCAACGCACAGTTACAACTTACAACTTACCCGGCCTAGTTGACTCGACTCGGACAAACAAACTAAGGTGTCACTGCACTGTCTCCGGCTCACGGACCTCGCGTGGCGGCCGCTGTGAAGCACAGTCAAAGTCTTATTTCTTTTGCTTCCACTCTCCGCTCCGATCCACCGCCTGCGACCTGAGCACGCTGAGGTATCCCCAAGGCATGCTACTGTATGACAAGACAAGACAAGAGTTCCGACTGGAGACAACATGCTACGATTACCAATGGAAGCTAAGCTACCTTTACGCTAGAAGGCCCCATCAGCTGCAGATAAAGTGGCATGGAAGGAATCCTGCACTGAACCCTTCCCTGTCAACTGGCTGGGTTGACAAGACCATCACGCCAGCCAGTGCGTCCGATGCTTTGCGCAGCCTCATTGTCTCATTCACAGACTCACAGACTCACAGACTCACAGTCGACCACTTTTTGGGTCCCTCATCCCCTCTTGGTGCGACGACGGCGGCGATGGATTTCGGAAACATTTCTTGGCCATCCAATTGTTTTCCAATCATCATTGATCCAATGACCCAACAACGTGGCCTGTCACTTGCCCATCAACCCCTTCTGACATCTATCGTATGGCCCGGCACAATCGTCAGAGCCTAATCAGTTCAGACGCACAGTCGAACGAGATCGAGACGAGTACGGCTTCCAGTCGTTCAACTGCCCTCAATATAGCGGAAGTACGCCGACTGCTCCGATACTTTGCTCGCCGCGCCGCCGAACCGCAAAATCTATCAGAGGCGATGAAGCCAACAGCCAAACCTACATGGAAGCCCCTCTCCGCAAATCATCCCATCTCAAGCTGGAGGTGTCGTTTCCACTCATCACTAGGCCTTAATCAGGCCAACACTAGCACATAAACACGTTCGCCGGGCCAGGCCAGGAAAAACTCAACCAGGAGTCCAGGATCGCAAGCTTCCGCAGCTAGCCTGGGGCCCCCAAGGCCCCTTGACTATCTTCGCAGTCTTCGGAAATAGCCAAGCATGGTCGGTCGATCACAGCATACCGTGCTGCTTCTCTCAGATCTCCAGATATCGTTCTGACGAGACCACGGGGCCTGCCACTCGTACCTAGCACACACCCACACCACCACCCGATGCATCCAATGACCCCAAGTCCACAATGGAGAGGCACAGAGGATACACCCTCGATTCGGCTCTAGGACCCTGGCCTGGGCTCACGCATTAGGAGATGGCAACGGTGGGCTGCATGTTACCAGTCACTTATGACAACGTCCCAACCTCCTCTTCGATTGCGGAGTCACCAAATCTTCATGCGTGGTGCGACTTGAGTATCCATATGAATGGATACCTACACCAACATACCACGTCTTGTACAGTGTAGGTATCCGTGCCAGAGATACATGTCATCTACATCTTGTGAACCGTCGAGAGGGGCTTCACAGCTGTAGCACAAGACGCCCCCAACCACAGGAAAGTCTATCCGTTGCGGATGTAAGCTGGATTATCCAAGAACTCACTCGACTAGTAAATCTCGAATTTAAACAAGTCATCCCACTTATCTTACTCGCGGCTACGGGCTTTCGCTCTGCACGGGCCGCGTCCATCTTTCCAGGCCGGCCGACTGCTGTCTTCTCTCGGGTGTAACGCCTAGACGATGGCACTCATCGCCGGCGTGTGCAACAAACTCCTCGCTTTTGCCTCAACTTTGCTTGCTTCTTGAAAGCCGCCGATCAAGCCTACTCTGTACACTCGTCGTCGGTTGAGTTCACGGTCAGGCTGCCTAGCCGGAACTGACGGAAACCTTGCTCGGCCAAGGTAAATAAACTCAACCGTCATTGACGACAATGGGGGGTGAGGTAATCTGCAAAGTCAAGACGCAATGAGCGTTGAACGTTTGGGTGCGACTTTGACATATCCCAGTCTCATTGAGTAAACAGCTCCATCGGCCGAGTAGTTTGGTGTTTCCTCCATGTTTTGCTACTCAGTACAGCCCTAGGAGCGTTGCAATCGTCCCATGATCCATCATGCCGTATGTGACTCTTTCAAATCCCGTTACCAGGAGACGGGAGTTCTAGAACGCGCCGTGGGACTTTGCAGAGTTCTTCGCATTCTCGCACACTTCTTCGGACATTTTACCGTTTTCCCCCTTTCTGACGTGGTTTCTTCCTTGCAAATGCCGCAGCGCGGGTTTTTGGGCATATCTCCATCGAACTCATTACATCTCTCACACGCGGCTTGTGTACTCAAATATGCAAAGAAACAACAAGGACTGTCTTCTCAATGAGATTATTTGTCACCTCTCTCTCTCTCTCTCTCTATGTATGGAGATGGCGCCCCGAAACGCATCGGTGGCCCGCCCCTCAGAATCAGACCCGCCAATACGGCTCCGGGCATCGGGCATGCGTTACCCCATACAGCAACGGAAAGCCGACGGTATGGTACACACAAACACTGTCACAAAGGCACGGCAAATACAAGGCTACGTTTCTCGGGTTGTAAAACATCATCGCCACCCCAATCCTCAATGCCTATATCCGTGTATGCCGTATGCCGTATGCCGCCGCCGATCAACCATATCTACCTTGTGTGGGTTGAGCTACAGGGTAGATCCCTTCCCTAACCCCCCTCCCCCAAACTTCAAGGTTTGGACCCAAATCGATGGGACAGAGAACAACATGAACCACTCATCTCCTCCCCGGAGCTCCGCGATGACCCCCTCTCTCTCTCTGTCAAGGTACCGAGGCTTACACAAAAACCAAACAACGAAATGCCGGTTCAGCTCAACGATGGCAAATTGAAGTAGGGTTCCAAACAAATTGATAGATCTAGGCCGCCTGCGCTAGAGGCGGGACGGAGGGAAAGTGAGTGTGGCAAGCGCCACCCCTCGTCTCACAGCTTCATCTCTTCAATGCCTCGGCCGAAGACAAAGCAGAGGAGGGAATCAGGGAAAACCCGAGACAATTCCCATTCCCCCCCTCCCTCTCCTGATGAACACGTGGTGTGACCTGGGCGTGCCTGAAAATTAATTAACATCGTACGTTGGTGGATGGGTTGGGAATGAATTCAATGTCCATAGGGCGAAAGATGACGATGAATTATTGTCCGCCTCGGCTTCTTCCACCTAAGGATTCTCAAGGTCAGGGTTAACCATCCCACGCAGAGGGGGGAGAGAGAGAGAGGGACGCAAATCCCTTCAAAAACAAGAAAACTTGTCTTCCCGCCGGCCGTTTCTTATTGACGACAATGTGTGGTTCCTGGAATAATAATACCGACGATTCGACGAACCCCACCGTCATAAAGCTCACGTGTCCAAGTGTTCCTCGCCTTTAGTCCCCTCACCCTCTCCTCAAGAGAATAAACAAGAACGACCCGACCCCCTCCAGGACAGGGGGACGCAATGGGGGCACGGGGGAGGGAAGAAAACGGCCATGTAGCGCCAACTCTAGATGTGATGCAATGTGATGCGATGCGATCGCCGAGGTTGATCGTCGGGTTGCCCGCACCGCAACCGCTCCTCTTGGCTCCTCACGGCCCTGGCCCTGGGTCCCATGCGACCCTGTCCTCTACGGTCCACGGATCTTCGTGCCTTTTTTGATTCCCGTCCCGAAGTCCCGGCAGCGGATAGATACACTGTAAAGGTAGATGGATGCACCTAACTATCCACGGTCCCAGTTTAGATGACGGGAACCTTTTCTTCCAAGACCATGTTCTCGGGGCTTCTAATCACGGTACATCTGTCGCCCAAAAAGTTAAGAATCGGCCGTGCAACAAAGAACAACCCGCCCTTCCCCGGGGGGACTCCCCGTCCAGTCTTCTTCTACTCCCTTCCTTGTTACCTCCCTGAGTCCCTCAAGGGCCTCGATACCCAGGTCCTCCTGTAGCCAGTCAGGAAAAACTTGACCCAGTCCTGCACGGGAAGGGGAGGGGAGGGTAGGGTCCCTCTTCTTCCGGATCCCGGGATGAGAAGCTATCTCAGTTTGGAAATGCTTGCGGACTACATACAAGCACTTGCAGCAAGTCTGCAAAGCTGCAGCCGCATCCCACCCGACCACCAAGTCCTTCCATCTCAACTCCCGACGCTGTCAAATGTACGCAATGACGGGCCTTTCCCTCTGGGAAGGCCTGAGCAGAGGCTGCCAGCGTGCCTGTTAGTCTCCAGGCAAGTACGTTGAGTACGTTGTATATTGAATGTGCGTCACATCTGAACTAGATCACTGTAATTTCACCGTTGTTGTATCCGTAACTCATCCTATCATCAGCTCAACGGCATGGTAAAGCCTAGAGGAAGGGGGGAGACTGCGGTCCTTGGGAAAAAACTGGTATCTTTTCAATCCTCCAAACCATGGCTGGAATCCTAGTCCATCCAATCAACCCACGACTTGTCTATACTCTTTTTTCTAGTTATCCAGTCCTAGCGGTATTCTGGCTGAGCCCACCTCGGCTCGTCCAGATCGTTGGATTACCATCCTCCAACTGCTAGCCACAGGGCCGGGTCGAGGCGTGGCACATATTCACATACAGCCTATGCCGCACAACGGTGCGTTTCCATCCTCGAGACAGGTTTCCGGTGGCTTCTCAGCCCTCAAAAAGGCCAGCCACTCCCTCCAAGGCATCTGGTGTGGCACGCCCCCCATCAGCAACCCCACCGCCCCGTGTTCTCGACTCGTTGGCTGGTGTCATGAACTCCTGAGCCATTTTGCTACGATTTGACCTCTTGCTGCGTCCGAAGCCACTGTTCTTGGGAAGCTTTCCCATCTCGGCAATACTAACTCCTTTGAGATCCTTGAGCAAGTCAAGCACAAGTGCTCTCTGCTGCCGCGTGTGTGAGGCTGGCTTGGCCACAAAGTCATTGAGTCTGTCAAGGTCTGCTTGCCTGATGTTGGGCAGAGACATGAGGATGTCGCGCGGGGTGCTCGTGACAGGGCTATAGTAAACCACTATGGCAGCGATCAGAGACGCCAAGTCCTTTTGTAGGTCTACAAAGTAAGGCTCATGGAAGGAGGTGATGCAAGCCCGGAGCACATCCGAGGCTATGTATTCCCTGATGGCCGTAGCTGCTTCCGCAGATACTGGCGTGGTATCAAGGTATGGGTCCCTGTTAGATGGTGCCGCCTCAGCGCCATCCTGGGGTAAAGATTTCGGCGACAGTGGCTCAGCCACGGTGAAGTCTGGGACGATGGATCGGAACACTCGCAGAATTATGCTGCAGCAACGAGTGTCTCGCATACGGATGGCGTGCGTGCAGAAGAGGAGCAGTGGCTCAACAACGGTCGACTGCATCAGGCAAAACTTCCTAAGTGATGGATACTTCCGTGCATGCTCTTGACCGTTCTGAGATCTCAATGGCGCGGGGTCTAGAAGTCCATGTCAGCTTATTCGCCATGTTTACCGTCTCTCCGAAATCCATGAATCAGCACCGCCATCTCCACCAACATCTGCTCCCAGCCGAGGCACACAGGGAATTGAGGAGGATGAGGAGCGGGGTAGCAGACAAGCAGTCTACAGAGCGACCCAAAGGGATCCTGGAGAAGTAGAAGGTCGAAGGGGGACGGCGACAATCTAACCGAGGAAGAAAGGGGAGATGGGCCTGGGTCAAGTCTAGGAAGAAGAAAGAAGAAGAAAAAAACTTACTCCTTTTCGTAGGGTCCAGGAAATCCGCCACCATGATGACCGCAGTGTAGGTGACTTGGCGCAAGATACTCTCCGATTTCATCTCCTCTGTCAGAGCATCGGCAGCTGCCTGAATCGCCTGCTGACGTTCCAGGTTCTCCCATTCGGCATTGATCTTGGCGTCCATTTGCTGGAAACAGGCTGCTAAAAGTGGAGGTAGGAAATGCTCTCGTTGCTCGAGGGGACAGTCATCCACAAGATACCTGACGAGGTTGAGCAGATTAATTTGCTGATGTGCTGAAAGGTGGAATGAGTTCTGGAAGAGTGCTTGCGCAAGCGGACCGGGCAGCTCGCTGAAGCCGTAAAACTGCATCTCCAAACGACTCATGCAATAGATGATCGCGTAGCAAGTTTCCCTAACGAATCGTACCGTCCCGCGGATTGTCGACGCAAGACCTTCGAGGGTGTTCTTCTTATCCATGACCCTCGCATAGAACTCATCTTTGCTGCCTTCCGATATGCCTGCTTGCCAGAAACGGTCGCTAAGCACATTGCCAACAACAGACTTCATCTCGTTGGGCAGTTCTGTCCAGTTATCCGGGTTGTGCGAGGCATGAGCATGGCTACAACGTTTGTCAGTCGACGAATACCACGAGCGGCTCCGCGAAAATTTACCTGAGGAACTGCAAAAGGTCCGGAAGGATTAGCGGGAAGCTATCATTCCACAGCTGGTACGAGACTTGAAACGGCGTTGACGTCTTCTCAAGCTTCTCGACAGAAAACGACAAGAAAGATTTGGTAGGGCGGAGTGGTAACATCTGTAGACAAGTAAGCATACCACCACAACGGATGTGTCGAGTTTCTACCGACCTTTTGCCTTGCCTCCAGTTCGGCCTGCAGGGCCAAACCCTCCGCATCCAACTCGCAGGAGCCCCATTCCTTGACTTCATGAACGCGATGGCTCATGAGGTATCTCTTCGCCTTGTCCAAGGCCATCAATTCGCAAAAGCCAGAGTACGATGACAATGCATTCTTCAACTCTTGGTTTTGCCATGAGGATGTGACAGGCTTGATGAATTGCTGGAGGCGTTCAACCTGTTTGGCGGGGTCGATGTTGGATGCTCGGTGAATGATGATGAAGAGGAAGCTTTGATAAGCGATTTGGCGTTTCTCATCCAGAGTACCAGACGAGATCATGTCGTTGACCTTTGCCTCGATTTGGTCATAAACAGCGAGCAAGTGATCAGGAACCTTGGAGGCTAGTCTCTGCAATTCCACCATGCTTTCAGACTGGAAGTCCTTAATCGCTTCATTGAAAGCACGATGCTCCGGCTGGGGCGACGGCCAGGTCATCAGAATGTGTTCGAGAACCTTGAGCATGAAGCCTGGGTTCTTGTCAAGTGCAGTTGTTGAGAAGGCGACCAACAACTGCAAAACTCTCTTTCGAATCAGAGGATCCTCGAACTTCATCTCGAGAAGTTTGGTGCACCACGACTCCAAATCCCTCTCTAGTGCAGCACGCTGTTGCTCCTAAAAGTAGCTTAGTATTGACTCGAATGCAAGAGTCTACATCACCTACGTAGTCTGGCAAGCTCTGCTGGGTGCTGCTTGCTCTCCACTTCATGTAGCCTTTGAGTGCAGCTTCAATGACGGTGAACTGAGCATCGACACGCAGAACAGGCATAGAGTGTTTGAAATACGTTGCGACTAAAAGGTCAGCTTTTCGGCTTCCGCTCAAGACACATAGTTGTCAACTCACCATCCATTGGCGGGCTCTCGTCATACAGATGCTGCAAAACATGTTCCGCCTGACCGAGGACATGGTATACTGCGTCGGATAGCTTGAGCTGGACAATAGTCTCGATGACTTGAGTGCTGTATCTTCTGTAGTTGCCGAGGAACGCGTGACGCTCGGGGACGGTATCGGTATCCTCCATGAGGAACATGAAGGTCTGGTCTTGAGTGTCTTCGGGCAAGTTCTCGTAGCGTATCAAGCGAGAGCCGCATACTTCGAGAAGAGGCCCAACGAGATGGCTGTTGGCTGGGCTCTGTCCAATCAACCTGTTGTTGAGGAGGCGTGTCCAGGTTGCCAAGACTGGAATCGCGATGATGAGACTTTGGCTCTGTACGGTAAGTAAGAGCAGGTTGAGGAAACCGCTGACATCCGAATTTGTGGATATGGCAGAGAACCGCCGGTCGAGGTAGTTGCCGAGAAGGGATAGCATCTAGTAGCAGTTAGTAACCTCGCGCTCATCATGCATGTTGATCAACGTACTTCTGAGAACTTTTTGCCGAATTGATACTTGTCCTCGTCAATATCCTCTACATCCACAGCAGACCATTCAAAGAGCCTCTTCATGAGGTCAACTTGGCTGGCATCATACATGGGCGCGACAAGGTCCTTGAACTCTTGCTCCGAGAAATTGGAACGGGAGTACAGCGCGTGGAGAGCTTCCAGCGAGGCCTAGTCAATGTTAGCTTTTGGACCCTTTTCATCGGCGGAACGAGCACAAGGCGGTCTGCGTGGTACCTTTTGGATGGACACCTCGGGAGTTGCGAGAGCCCTGCACATGACTGGAACGCAATTTGCGACGGCAACAGACTTTGGGATGGCCCATGGCATGAGGGAATAGAACACAGTCAAGGACTTCACGGCGCAAGAGCGGATTTGGTCGTTGTTTGGTGCGTCACCGTCGAGACATTGACTGAGGAACTCGGATACCCTGCTTAGCCAGCCTTCTTCCCCAGAGCGCACTTCGGGGCCTGCAACTCTGTTGGGGAATGCCTCTCTGAGAACCGAAGCTGGTGTAAAGACTTCGACGCAGCTTCTGCTGAGGGTGCCTTCGCGCATGGCAACGACGGCGTCGTCGCCATTGAAGACCTCGTCGGACAGAGTCTCGAGCACGAAAAGAACGAGCTCCTTGTGGACAGGGGAATCGGGTATCTGCCAAATCCGTACCAAGAGCTCGTCCATATCCATCCACTCGGCGCCCCAGCTTCTCTTTGCGACTTCTACCCACAGCTGAGCTGTCTTGTTCCTGATGTATAGCGGATCTTCCTTTGACAAGGTGCGGCAAAGCTCCATAACCCATTCGCGCAGCATAGTAGATTGCTGCTCGTTGTATTCGGCCCATTTCTGCTTGATTGCATGTTCGAGAAGAGACAGGGCGTAGTGGCGCACGACGGGGGACTGCGACTTGTTGGATGCGAGGGTGAATCCGTGGAAGGGGGCCTCGTCTATGCCCTTGATGTTCTCGAGGAAGAGCTGTGCATCTCGGCGGGACTCGTTGGAGGAGTAAGGACTGTGTATGACCTCGAGGGCCTGGTGGATCTGGGAGATGATGTCGGGGTTTCCGCCGTTGGTGGAAGTAGCATTCTGAGCCATGCCAGCTGCGCCATTGGGCGTCCGGCCGTCCATGATGGGTTCTGTCGGTCGCAGTACACCGCGAAGTGTCCAGCTGTGGAAGCTGCTAGTCCAGCAGATGACTTAATGCTGGTTCATACGTCGAAGGTGGACTCGAGGGAACTTGACGGCGGGGGGAGCAGGTGGGAGAAAGATCGGAGTGCAAGCTCGGTGAGGAATGCTGCCCAAGAAGTCGAGATTAGAGTTAGCCACGGCTGCCGTCGAATGGGAAAGAAGAGAAAATGAACGAGCCTGCACGGGATGGAGTATTACAGAGCATGCACATGCTGAGTGCAAAAACGTACCAAAGAAATGTTCTTACCACAAGGTATTTTCCCAAAAATAATCAAGGTCGTTTGTTCTGACCACGATGCGGTGTCGAGGGTGGGAAGGATATGCAAGACAAAGCTGAGCAGCGGAAAGTTTGTCGGGGGAAGCAGAAAGATTAGATTGGGATTGGATAAGGTAAGGTACGCAGATGCAAAAGCGAGTGTCGAAGTTGGGAGCTTCGCGGAATTCGTATCCGTCTAGCAGCTGTGACAGAGGTAGAGGCAAAGACTAGCAATAGCAGCAGGAGGAAGCAATCTTGAATTGCATCGTCAGAGGCAGACATAAAGTAAAGCTAAAAGGTGGGAATTGTCGCGGCGTTAAGGCAGGCAGGTGGTGAGGTGAGCCCAAGGTGAATGTGAGGTGACCCACGCAGCCACGCCCTGGGCAGGTACCTCAGGTCCGACGCGCTCAGCGGTCCCGCCCACCGCAAGCGCAAGGTTCCATATGGTTGCTGTCGGGTGCCCTGCCGTGCTGTGCTGTGCTGTGCTGTGCTGTTCGGGCCGGGGGGGGTGACCGTGTACCTGGGGCTGGGCCACCGCAGACTCACAGGTCCCAGGTATCTATCTGTACCTGACTTATTTTACCTAACGCAATGGAACCCTGCCGTGCCCTGCCTTGGGCCTTTTTACCTTACCGACCTGGAGGCAGACGGAGTGAGTAATGAACCAGAAGGCTACACGTCGTGATACACACGGGACGGTTGGTTTTTGGAACATCCAACTCTCTAACCTCAAGTGAGGTACTCCATTTGTAGGCACCCTGATTTACCTCCAAGTACACATGTGCCCATGTGTTGGTGTGAGCTGGACGACAACATGGGAGATGCGGAGAGAACCTGTCACCCCACCTCGACTCACCTTACCTCGCCTAGCTACGCTGTCGTGAATCTTGATTGTTTAATTTCGGCATCTTCCTACCTTGCCTTATTACCGGGTAGCTAGTTTAGCCTTGGTACGGAGTAGATGCATGCCTACATAGGGAAATACCCCGCCATCCGGCAAGTAAATACCTACATCTCCCCACGTTTCTCTCAAAAATAGAGATTATCCAATTGCAGAAAAAGATGCATGGCAGGAGACTACCCTTGACGCAAGATGCAGTATCTATTTTCGAGTTACTTTATTTTCTTCAACGATGGAACTGCCTCGTCAGAAATCACATCAGCGTGATTATGTATGCACGGAAACTCTGGTTAAGCTCTCTCTGCAACTCAGCAACCCCCCTTGTTTGTCTAAGGTACTTGACTTTAATCACAACCATGATGGCCCTATCCTTTCAGACCTACATAAAGCCAGCGAGTTTCTCTGGGGAAAGGCAAGACACCATTGCTAGCCTGCCCATGTTTCTCTATCATCTGCCTCCCAAGCCCATTGGTCTCGAGCAAAACAATGGAATTGTGTTGACCTCTTCCATTGTCGTGATGACTTCTGTTTGCTTTGCTTCCTCCCACCATCTCCTAGGCCAGTTCTACCTCCCACAGGCACAAGAGCTTATCATAGAAGCTCGTCGACACACACTCAAGACGATTGCTTCCCGGCGCAGGTACAAAGTCGCTGCCGTAATTCATGCTCTTGTGTTCCTCGAACTGGGCCAGGACAGTAACAGCCCAGGCTTCGCCACTCAGCGGACCTTCGAGTTCAACAACTCTGGCTCCGGCATGCATGCATGATGCCAGAACGCGCAGTCGGCATCGATCCGCAGTGCTTGTCATGTCGATCAACTTGAGCCTCCATACTCCCCCTCCTAGATTTTCCTCTGCCAGACTTTTGACCTTCCGCATACCATATGTCTCGTGCGGCGGTTGCACGGAGAAAACTCTTATTGTGTCGTCATAACTGCCAGTGACTAGTAGTCGCGAGTTGTCTGCGAGCGTGAGTGGTATCGGAAGGATAGCCGTCACGCCAGCACCATGGCCGGGGACGTTAAGGGGCGTATACAGAGCCTCGATACCGGCATCTTCGTTGCGAGAACACGATGTGTAGCGCAACGCCGAGTCGTCTCCTCCCGAGTAGAGGATGAATGGCGTGGTTTGATCGGGTGGCGAGAAAGCCACAGTCCAGGCCTCGAGAGAATGCGTGATGATAGCCTCCGAGTCCTCTTCGTCTATGATCTCCCATGAATCGCTGAGTCTCACAATGCGCACCTCACCAGATGAGGTTGTCAGCGCAATAGAGGCAGCGTTGTTGGGATCCCAGACCCCAGAGAGGAACAGAACCCCTTCAGGGACGTCGGATATTCCGCTCGTTGCCAAATGCTTCAATGGCTCTGAAGCGTCGGTTTCAGGATTCAACTTGAAGATGGAAAGTGTTCCCGTGCTCGAAACTACGGCCAGGATGTCCTGCCGCCCTGATGATGGGCAGAAGTGCAGGTCAAGAATCGCTGAAGGATGCAAGAGTGTTTGCACATGTTGCCTACGGACGAGTGAGTCAAAGAGAAAAAGAAGATATCTCTCCCTATACGCAGGCCACAGACTTACACAAGACCGTCTACGAGCCGGTATATAATCAAGCTACCGTTCCGGTTCTGAGGTTTCTTGGGAACAGCAACATCTGCGTTTTCTGACGACTCGGTTGTTGTCTCCTCTTCCTTGACCAAGTTGTAGGTGCCGAGCACGAAATAGGACGGATGTGAGGAGCAAAACTCCATGCAACTTGGGGGCAAGTCTAGGATAAGAGACTGCTTTGAGGTGATGGTTGGGGCTGAGTCACCCATTGTGGGATTGTGTGAGGGTTGTCTCTTCTTTTGGACCGAAAAGAAAAACTCCAAATCCCCAGCTTTCGCCTGCGCAATGAAGATTCTGGAAGATGGAGAATGTCTCACTGAGTATGCTGCCTTGTCTCGTTTTTCGGCAGTGTCCAGTCTCAAGTCCGGGGAAAAGGTGTGGGGGAAGTCGAATTTGAGATTTGACGTGCGGTGCTTCTTAGGTTCTGGACTCGCCAAAGAGTTCCGGGAGGGTTTATCGGCCCCGGCGCAGGCGGAAGGATCCCGCAACTCCCGACCCCGGGATTTGGCAGCCGCTAATCGGTTCGGAAGTTGCAATCCTTTCCAAAAACGACGGGGTATCAAAAGCATCCCCTTGTTCCTTCATTTCAATAGATTCAAACTTTATCGACACGTTACCCCCGCCCGCACATACCTTATACATAAAAGGATGACGTTGCCCTCACATTGCCAATACTAAGGGACTTGTTTATAATTGTCGATGGCCTTTCTTTCTCACTGGGGTGATGCTTTCTTTTTCTGCTCCGAATCAATAAACGTTCACCGCACTTTCCTCACTTTTCTCACTGCAAGACAAGGCACTTCCATTGTTCATAACATCTGAGAATCATCCCCTGTGGTTCCTGCAGTTTGCATTGGGCAAAGATGGATTCTGATGAATCCGATTTCTACGGTTTGCATCCTTTATGAACTCAATTGACATTGACAAGACGAACTAATTCGCGCTTAGGGGACGATGAGATTGTCGCCGATCTAGAGTCTCGCGTTACGTCATTCGACGTTTCGCAGTGGTGGGAAGAGAGGAACGCGGCTGCGGTCTCGACCTCGATGATGGACCGAAAAGTCAAGAAGGAGCCTCTAGACAGTACCAAACTCCACAACCCGTACGCCGGTGTCCCCTACGCGTGGCAGTTGACGGAGACCGTCAATGCCTTCCTGGATCGTCTCCCTCCCGAGACGACGGAGCACAGCGAGCAGCTCCCGTGGATTTTCGTCTGCAACCCGTACATTCGCAGGAAGGATAGGTTCAATGCCCAGAACCAGCGAAGCAGAGGCAATGAGGATGAAGCACCCGAGGAGGAGGGCTCCCGACTTGATACTCTCATCGAGGGGGGCTCTGAAAGACTAGAGATCCTGCTTAACTACAAGCAAGGACTCGAGAAGACCAATAAGTCTAAGGCGTTACAGGCAAAATTGCTGAGGCAAGAACAAGAAGATACTACTCGAGATATCATGGGCCTCGCGCACATGTGTAAGATCAAGGCCGGCAAGGCAAGTGCTCACCAAGGGCTGCGCGTACTGCAATATGATGGCTGATTCTCGTCAACAGTGGATGCTCTTCTGTCAGCCCAAGGATGTCAACGAAGTCTGGAGCGTCATAGCGAGGGCCACGGCCAATAACGAGCTGGGCATTGCCGCGAAAGTCGCCCCGTGGAATCCGTATACGGACCCTACCGGTCGAAAAGACCGAATCGTATGCGTCTATACAGCCGATTTCAGTGACATGGCAGATGTCACCCGGGTCTTGCGTCGGCTGAGAGAGCTCAAGCTCGTTGAGGCCATGGGACGTCCCATCTACTACAAACCAGGTTTGTGGAAGCCTCCTATCGCCAGAATTAAGATTGCAAGTCTGACACGTCAAAGATGCGTTCACATATCTCGGTATTGCTCACGGCAACCATTGGGGGTTGAAAGCCTCGATTTACGGTTCTAGGGATATGTTGTCCTAGACAGCCATCAGTCCCCCGCGTCTCAAGAGGAGCTTATGTATGGTTCACTTGATTGCGCAGGTATGTGTAGCAGTAGGCTTGAGATGGCCAGAGAGACTAGTACTCAGCCCAGCGTTTGTATGCTGTCGGGGGTGAGAAAGGACAGCCAGCTGGACTGGTTCGAATCAACGAAAGAAAAGAGTATTCGTTTGTCACCAAGGCTGAGAAGATGGACTCCCGTTCATCTTTGCCCTTCTGATGTACATGAAATTTGATATGTACCTCTGATAAGCCGTACTACAGAGTACTGCCACGAGCTTATGTTATGTGTGTGTGAAAACGGATTGCGACATACGCCCTGCCAAAAGATGCCTCTGTCCCTTTGTACACCGCTCGACCATCTATAAGAATCGACACCTCCAAGTCCTGTACCGATGCCCCTAGTAATGCTAACGTCTCAACTCACGCAATGTCCTGTTCCAAAACATCGGCGATACTCTGCTCGCTCTTATGTAGGTAACCCTTGTGTGATCTTTCAGTACTCGTATGAGCCGGTCCAGGCGGTTGTTGTTAAAAAACGCCGCATGTGTTCTCCAGTATTCTCTTTGACTTGAGAAGCAGACCCTCCCCATAGTCCCCTAGTCAGGGAGACTGACCATCCGAATCATCAAACGCGGCATCCGGGTCGATAGGCTTGAGCAGCAGTACCAGCCTGTAGGCGCTATTGCCGTTGAGGTAATATCTATGCAGCTTCTTGGAGCGCAAGAACCCAAGACGCTCATATAGGCGCATGGCTTGCGTGTTGGTTTCCTCCGTCTCTAGAACCACCTCATCCGCGTTCCGCTGGCCCATGGCATCGATGGCTCTCTTCACGAGTGCCGTCGCGATGCCCTTACCGCGATACGGCGAGGCCACGGCGAGCATGGCGATGTAGCCCCGGCGCGTTGGCGGCGAGTGAGACGAGTGCACTTCCAGCTTGCAAATGATGACGCCAATGAGAGAGCCGTCGGCGGGGTTCAAGGTCTGTAGTGTGAAGTAAGCAACAGCGATGACACGCACGCAAGGAGGGGGTTGAGAGTTACTGACCATAAAGCACAAGTGGCCCCACTGGTATAGAAAATATCGATAGACATAGATGCTGTATGGCTCACTCAGGTCCTTTGCGATCAGAGAGCGTATAGCTGGAAGGTATTTCGCTTCGAGACCGTGCTCGTACTGGATGTACTGCAGATCCGCGGGGAGGTGGGTGACCTTGGAAACGTCCATGTTGCTGTCTCGCGGGGTATATCTCTATTTGAGGCCGGTGTTTCGCAGGCAAGAGATGAAGTGAAGTTGAAAGATGTGAGATTTCGTAATGAGAGGTTGCACACAAGCCTATACCGGCACGTGAAAAGGTCTCAAGGCATGACAATCTGTATGGGCGCGTAAGGAAGAAGGCAACAAGTGAAGTCTCTTGATCCGTGACGAGGCGGATGAGAAGAGAAAGTGCGAGCAAATAGCCGGGTTTCGCAGTATGACGAGCGCTTCGCTGTAGAGTGAAGCCAGGAATGCTACCTTAGAGATGGAGAGGGCGCGGCTCTGCCGCAGCTGGTGGTTTATGAGACAGGTATGAGTCTTGAAAGGCTCAAACCGGGGTTCGTGATATGTGCGTTTGCAGGCGCAAGTTGATGGGCGTAGGTAGTCGGAGTCGGAGTCGGGGGACGCTGCATTCGGTCACCCAAAACTGAGTCGAGTTCCAGTCTGGTGGCACTCTGGCTGCGGCGCTTCAGGTCAGTCAGCTCCGCTCAGACCGTGCGGTGTTCAGTGTCCTTACCAACTGCAGTACGCGGTAGACCCCGCCCGGGGGCCCACCATCCTCGCCCATAGTCCCTGTCGGATTCGGAGGTCAGTTGTGCGGCCAGGCCATTTAGTGGGGATTACCGACGGGCGGCCCTGGGCTGTTGTCCACCGCCCATCCTCAGTGAGATTCCTTTTTCAGTCAAACGCCGTCTGACGCATTCACCTGGAAGGCTCTCCAGCGGCTCTGTCGCGGCCTGAGGCCCGGCGGCGAGCGCGCGGCAGGACTTCACCTTGGAGCTGTTGCGTGTTGTCGGTGGCGACGCCGGTAGAGACTCGTTTACAACCGACACTGACAACAATTTCCTTCACTGTCACATGCCAAACGGCCGTCCTCGTGCTACTTGGACAGTCATCTCATTGGATACCTAGATTGGCCTAAACAGGCACCCAAGAAAACTCATCTAATCACCACCTACTTGAGCTTTCTGAAAACTTGAGATCGTGGAGAGGTGAAGTATCTACCAGGTGAGGTGCATTAGGGTGAAGCCAGAGATGGTGGCGCCTCACGCTTGCCAGCGCGACTGTGCGGTAAGGTACTGGATGGTATTTATGAGGGTTGTCAAGCTTGGGTATTCCAGGTAAGGCCGTATCTAGATTGCCAGGTAGGAATTGCTGATGTCTTATCCAAGCCAAGGGAATTGCCCCGTCAAAGCTGCCAAGTTTAATTTTTGCTTGCGTTCATGCAATGGGGTTAATCCAAGGTCTATCACATGTAAGCACCTCTTATTGCTACCTACCTGCCTAACATCTTAAGGTAGGTACACATCACCTGTCCCAAGAAAGGCAGGGAGTGATTTGGCTGCTTTCGGAGTATTTCTGCGCGACAGGCACCGTCAGAAAACCCACCGATGTCCATACCCTAGTATCGACTTACTAAGTGGTAATGTATGGATGGATTCAAGATGGACACGGGGTTTTCTTCAGCACCGCGCCTCGACTTCTCAAGTTGGTTGCCCTCGTTCAGTGGAAACCCCTGTCTCCCAAGGCGGCATGGTGCCTGTACATCTGCCGGGCGCCCTCATGACAAGGTCGAGTACGAAGAAGTCGTACCAAAACACACCCAATGACTAAGTATCTTATCGTACCTTTCTATTGACGAACTGCACGATGCAAAAATAAGACGCTGGCCCCCTCGGAGATTGACGTCACGTCGGGCCGCACGGAGCAGTCAAGCAGCTCATGCATCTTTCTTTGCTCGTTCCTCGGCCGCCTCCAACATCCCACCCCCCGAGCTCCGGACTCCTTGGCTCTCGATATTGCCCGGCCAAGTGCAGCTGAATTCCGCATGCCTTGGGGCTGCCTCTCGACATACGTCTCTCCCATCTGTCTGTCCAACAAATCACGAAACAAGCTTTGCCTAGCTCTGGATCTGCCATAGGTAGTCCCCCCCTTGCTCGCCGCTTAGCTCACCCCGTCCCCTCTCCCACGTGCCTCCCAATAAGTACCAGCCCATACCCAAGGAGGTCGCCGCAGTTTACACCGTTCTCGCTCCCACTTCATCCCAAGCTCAGGTATGTGCCGTCTGGCCCTTGCTTGCCACGATCCAGCCTGGCCTCCCTCAGTTGTTACAACATCGACTTCAGAAGCTAACTTCGCTCTACTAGCACCTCCGCGAGGCAACAGCTCTTTGCGACCGCGACCATGTCTTCCTCGACTCTTAGGCGCCGAGCCATCCCCCCGGACACCAATGTCGACAGCGAACCTTCAACCCCTCGAGACGAAAGCCCCGAGAAATCCGAGACTGTAGCTCAAGTCGTCCACCATGTAAAACCCAAGACACGGAAACGCCGGAATGGCGCCATCTTCTTACTTGGAAGTTTGTTCGGATTATTAGCCGCCGGCTTCTTCGCAAAAAGCAACGACCTCATCGATTTCCCTGAACTTGGAGAGCTTAGCATGAACAGCTTCTTCGATGTTTTGCCGGCTGGCTTGGTCAAGGACATGAGGGAGCTTGTGGTTAGTAACAATTCAGCCGTCGTCTTCGACAGGCGTGCGTCATCTAGCTGGCTAGAACTAACAAGGCTGGCTGTAAAGCAAGGCGAGAAAGAATTTGTCGATAGCTACGATGCATTCTCCGTAGGTTTACAGGCTCGCGCCGAGGGTCTCCATGCCCACCACCCCATGATCATGGTCCCTGGCGTCATCTCGACTGGCCTGGAGTCGTGGGGCACAGCCAACGTTTCCCGCCAGTATTTCCGAAAACGCCTCTGGGGTAGTTGGAGCATGATGCGCGCGCTGGTCCTCGACAAGGAAAACTGGAAGAAACACATCATGCTGGATCAGGACACCGGCCTTGACCCCCCTCATATCAAGCTACGAGCTGCCCAAGGCTTTGACGCAACCGACTTCTTCATCACTGGCTACTGGATCTGGAACAAAATTTTCGAGAATCTGGCATCGATAGGCTACGACCCGACTAATTCCTTCACCGCGGCCTACGACTGGCGTTTGGCGTATCCCAACCTTGAAACCCGCGATCAGTACTTTTCGAGGCTCAAGTCTTACATTGAAACTGCGCATGCGTTTTCGGGCAAGAAGGCCGTTCTCGTATCTCACAGCATGGGAGGACAGGTTCTTTTCTACTTCTTCCACTGGGTCGCATCCGAGAGCGGTGGCCGAGGTGGCGACGACTGGGTCGAGCAGCACGTCGAGGCGTGGATCAACGTGAGTGGTTGCATGCTTGGCGCTGTCAAGGACTTGACGGCTGTCTTGTCAGGTGAGATGAGAGACACAGCTCAGCTCAACGCCTTTGCCGTATATGGCCTTGAGAAGTTTTTGAGCAAAGACGAAAGAGCCCAGCTCTTCCGAGCGATGCCTGGCATTTCTTCCATGCTTCCTATTGGAGGGGACGCTGTTTGGGGCAACGCGACATGGGCACCTGATGACAAGCCAGACCAGGAACTGTCTTACGGATCTCTCCTCAACTTCCGCAGCGGCATGAACTGGACAACGCCGGATCAAAATCTGACGGTCGAGTCGGCCATGAACTACCTCTTCAACACAACAGAGGAGTGGTACTCGAGGAATGTGAAGGGAGCCTACTCCCATGGTGTAGCTCATACTCAAGCCGAGGTCGACGCCAACGAAAAGGACCCAAACAAATGGATCAACCCCCTGGAAACACGTCTGCCCTTGGCACCGAGTCTCAAGATCTACTGCTTCTACGGCGTGGGCAAGGCAACGGAGCGAGGCTACTACTATCGGTCACCAGATGCGCCGGCACTCACGAACCTGAACATCACAATCGACACAACGCTCACACAGGGAGAGGTGGACCATGGTGTCGTCATGGGAGAGGGCGACGGAACAGTGAATCTTCTCAGCACGGGATACATGTGTAACCGCGGATGGAACTACAAGAGGTACAACCCGGCCGGTGTCAAAGTGACGGTTGTCGAGATGGAGCACGAACCCGAGCGTTTCAACCCCCGCGGAGGACCCAAGACGGCAGACCACGTGGATATTCTCGGGCGGCAACATCTGAACGAGCTCATCTTGAGGATCGCGGCCGGCAAGGGCAACACGATTACCGACTATGTCGTTAGCAACATTAAGGAGTACGCCGACAAGGTCAAGGTGTACGACGATGGCCAAAGACCTGATGAGGAGCAGGAGCAGGACACTTGGGAGGAGACATTGGAAAAACTGGTCGGCAACAGTTCATGAGCCATCCGAGTAAAGGCGTTTATGGTGCCAGGTCACCAAGGGTATTTGGAGCATTTGGGGATGGTTACGACACGGATACAATACCCTCTTATTCAATGAATTTCTGTCTTTCCATTACTCTCTTCTGTCTGTCTTAATAGGCAATTATTGAACGAGGTGTTCGCTACACATATAGAGCTCGCAGCATACTTTATACATTGCCAACTTTGGAGGTTTCGACAGGTGACCACGGCCAGCATTGTGCACTCCAAGAACTCTTAGTTATCCCATGCCTTCTATTCGGCGTTTGACTCGGAAAGGTCACAAATCCTTTCTCCATGTCCTTTGGGGATCATGAGAACTTCGAGGCGAGACAGGTAAAGTGGGGTCAGGTGCTCGTGTGTGCTGTCACCGGAACAGCGAATATCTTACAGCGAGGTGGAAGGTCGGTGTCCCCAACCCCTCCACTCCCCCTCCTCTTCCCAGTTCCCCCACCTTCACTCCAAAAAAAAAAAAAAACTCCCCTCCCCTCACTGAAGGGCAGCCACCATCCAACTCCCGTAGGAATCAGTGTTGCCGCTGCCGCTGCCGCTGCCGCTCAGTAGGCTCAGTGGGCCTGTACAACCGCTACAGTGCTCCAAGGGTGGAACGTCCTTACCTCATCCAGCTCGGGCCTGGACCCAGTCACTCACTGGCCCGACTAGGTACCTGAGGAGGGGGACCTTGTTGTCAAGCCATGTGGTGGATCAAATCCCAAAGAGTCGAAACTCCAGCCGGCCTCATCTTCATCCCACCAACTATCTAACACTTCTTCTCCTTCTTCTTCTCCTCCTCCCATATTTTAGCAGTTGCTGTTTGCACTGCGCCGGTGATGCAGACCATTTCACCCACGTACCAGCGGTGGTTCTAGCATCATGGCCGACTTTGATCTCTACGAGTCTCTTGAGACCAAGCACCAATTTTGGGAAGGTCAGCCGAGTTCGCCCCCAAATTCAACCCCTCCTTGCTCTCCTTCTCTCCCCCCGCCTTGCTGTTGTTCATGATGTTGTCAACTGTGTGCTTTCTCAGACCTCACATTCCTGAATCGCACACTGCGCGCATCGTGGGATTTTGTCGCTGACCAGTGTCTCATCGTCAACTACAGAGCTCGACGATGTCGTCACTACTCAATACCAGTCCCACGACTTAATCGACGAGACCCTTCGATCGTGGCTCTATCTTACTTCGAGGTTCAGAGACAAGTTCCCCGAAAACGAAGACGATGTCGCCGCCTGCTGCGAGAAGCTATTGCAATGCAAGCTGTTCCAAGACAACAAGGACTACATTCGCAACCAGATCGTCTATAGTCTTCTCCAGGAGGACGAACCCCCGTCGCTGCACGCCATTGTACTATTCCTTTTGCTCGACGGCCATGCGGACGAGGCCTTATACTCTCGTATGATCGAGGAGGCGTGCTTCCCTCGCCTCCTCGAGCTGATTAATGGCCGTAAAGAGCAGGATCTGAGGTTGCATCGCTTGCTTCTGGAGCTGATGTACGAAATGTCCCGGGTGGAAAGGTTGCGCACCGCCGACTTGCTCCAGGTCGACGATGGCTTCGTTGCATACCTCTTCCAGATAATCGAGGAGTTGTCCAACGACGTGCACGACCCATACCACTATCCAATCATCCGAGTGCTGGTATAACCATTTTCCCCATGCTCCCTCCTGCCCGTCACTGGCGCTGACGAAGATGAAAACAGTTGGTTCTCAACGAACAGTACATGCTCGCATCTACCGACGTCGCCTCCGATCCGAACTCGCCTAACGCCCCTCTCACGAACAGGGTGATCAAGTGCCTTAGTCTCCATGGCGACTCGTTCCGTACATTCGGAGAGAACATTATTTTACTTTTGAACCGCGAGACCGAGACGTCTCTGCAACTCTTGATCCTGAAACTCCTTTATCTATTATTTACAACAAAAGCCACATACGAATACTTCTACACAAATGACCTCAAGGTTCTCCTTGACGTTATCATTAGGAACCTGATGGACTTGCCGGACGAGAAGATATCGCTCCGTCACACATACCTACGAGTCTTGTATCCACTCCTGGCGCACACACAACTGAGCCACCCGCCGCACTACAAGCGTGATGAGGTGCTCAAAGTCTTGAGGATTCTGGGCGGTTACGGAAATTCTCACTTTGCCCCTGCAGACGAAACGACGGTTCGTCTGGTCGACAGAGTCTCCAAAGTGAAATGGCTTGTCGATCAGGAGGCTTCTGGCAAGGCAGAGGTGGCTCGGAAGTTCCTGGGCATCAGTCTCACACGTTCGGACACAGCGAGCAGCGTTAGTGTTGTCGATGTCGCCGCCGTCATGGAGAAGCCTGGTGTCATCACCCCGAGTCGCAAGGCCGAGGCGGACGCGGAAGCCAAACAAGGAGAGGCCAAGGCCGGGGCAGGCGGTGTGCGGCCGAAGAAGCCGCTGCCCGAGGTACCGAAACACCGACATGGCGTTCCGGTCGGACCGACGACGACGTTGCATTTGAATGAACATAAGAAGATACCACCAAAAGCACCGCCGCCGCGGCGGAAGACGAAGCTTCAACCTATGGAGCCCGTGGCGGACAGTGCCCCTATACCAGAGGCTTGAGAAAGAGAGATGTGAGCTGGCCTGGTCCTGGCGGCCGGACCAAACGACGAAATGAATTGGGACAGGTGTTTGCTCGATTTGACGACATGGGCTGGAGTTTAACTTGGAAACCAGAGGAGGCATAGCAATCGCAACGTTAGGGATGGCGTCGAGCGTTCGGGTTACGGTCAAAGCATATCATGGCGTTTGGGTACCCGAGGACTGCTACACCCAGTCCAAAGACGATATTACCGCCTCCTAGCAGCTGCACAATTTATGCATTTTGAGTGGATGAGATGAATATCGAAATCAAGCAAGCGTGCAATAGTCAATGTGTTCACCGTCAACGTCTGTGCTGAATGCGAAATACTTGGCCGGTAATCACCAAATATCACTTGGGGGGGTTGAGATCGGAGTTAGGATAGATTCGCTTCATCTCGAAAGCAACATGAGATGAACGCTATGGGTCCGCTATTTCCTGACCTCAACTTTACCCCTAAACCTAGAGGCACAGACTCGGTATCATGGACGACAACGGGGAAACAACCAATTTAGGGTTCATCCGAGGACGAGGTTCCGTACTTGGACTGACTGGCAGCTAAGATGGAGGAGGTCTGAAAATGAACTACCTACCTACCTCAAGAGGATCATTTGTGCCTCGCAAGCATGACGGCACGGAGTTGAGTCCAATCCAATCAGAGACCATGAATAATAACGGACAAGGAGCGAGTGCTCTTTACTCGGCAAAAAGTTTCCCCCAAAATAGGATGGCCAGTATGCATCAACCGCAGGCAACATTCATGTTTACGCCATCGAGCAATCTCACGATATCTAGAACAAAACTTCAAAAACATACAACACCAGGTATTCGCTGGTCGTCACCGACCCAACTACTAATCCGGCCCTCATTGGCTTATCTATGGGAGAGCGGACGGGATCCCGAGTTTTCCAATGGGTATGGTCGTATGTGGTAGTTCAAGCTACTCAGACGGGATATGATGATCATACTGACAGCCGTCATTGTGACAACCACAATAGTGCTCACGCTCGTAGCTCGTTACTTTGAGCCAATTAATATAGAAATTATCTTTATCAAAATCCATATTCAAAGTTAAAAGGGGATCCCACTTGACATATCAGAGTCATAGCTGCTGTGGAGAAGACTTAGATTGGGTCATTGAACTTCCATGTTTCTCCCAGCGCAACGTCAGCCATCCCGGCGACTTCTAGATAGCGTCAATATATCCATTTATAATGTTTCGCTATTTCCAATCTATTTGATATCATACTTAAGCAAATAGAAGATGAATAGGGTCGTATTAATCTACAATTTATGGTGACTCTTTCGGAAAGTCCTTATATGTATTAACGCCATCTAGCAGTTGATAGGATAAGACACAAGAAAGAAGTTCGGCCACTCCGATGCATAATACAAACCTCTGCTTAATTCATTCGCATAGCTGCTTCTGTCTTCAGGTAGGATGCAAAAGACTACTAAAAGTGCATGTTGTTGGCCTCCAACAAGCGCCGCGGTGCTTGATACTCTTCAGGCAGACTATGTGATCGAAATACAGAAGAATCTCGCAATAGGCGAATCGTGGACCATCACTGCACCGGTGATCGGGACAGTAGCCACCTTCAATAAGAAGAGGACCGTTGAAAGCGAGTTCGCTTCTTATTGCCAGAGAAGTCAGAGAAAGGAGGACTGGGATTTCGACACCACAGACATGTTCAACGGGTGGGCATTCACCCTCATGAACCGGAGGTCTAAGTCGGACCAATCAATGCAGTACATTGGACTGGCACCAAGTAACCTTGACTGTGAGCCCCTTTCGAAACATGTCTATCTATACAACACCTACCGGCAGCAATAATATGGAACTTGGTCAGTTACTCGAGGCGGGTTTCAGCTGCTGAACGGCACTTGCGAGGACGCCATGTTGCCTCCGCCTCAGCAATTACCATTTCCATACACATATCTCGCCCTCGCGCCTTGGTACATGTCCCCCTCAATGGAAATGCTAAGCACTTTCTGCGGAAATAGCAAGACGTGTGACAGAGGCACTAAGTCTCCTTGGATGAAGCCATTTATGGCCACGTTAGTGGCTGCGATGCTGTGGTCAAGGAATGCACTCATGAAAGGATATGGGGCCTTCAACTCGGAGTAGTTCAACATGAGCTCGATGAGCTGGGTGCTGGCGGACAATACCAATGTCTCACTCGAAGATGTCCGAAACAAGTACAGAATCGATGAAGCCGATCAGACTATATTCTACAGCCGACCAACGCTGCGGAAATCGCCTTGGCTTTATCTGGTGCTTGCTATCCAGCCACTCTTGATATTCATCATCCTGGGACTGATCGTCATGCTTCACTCAGAGCCCCTGAGCAGGGGGTTCGGCCTTGTCTCAATCTTGTCGGGTATTGACCGTCAGAGTCTCAACAACTTGGCGGGGGCATCGCTTTCAGGAGATCTGTCACGGTCTGTCAAGCTAACAATGTATCCTGTTCAGACTGGTGATACGAATGCGATATAGTATCGTGCGGCGACATCATCGAAGGGGCAGAACCGTAATGGGAAGTTGGAAAGGAACGTCGTGTATCACTGAGACTCTTGAATCTTGCGTAGGGCATGTAGAGAAGGAAGAGATCGCATCACTTGTATGTACCTTGGTAGTTTTAGCAGTGTCAATTTGGTTTAGTAGCCAAATCTTGGACATTATCAGCGCGATAATGGAAAGAAATCTTCAACGCATGTTTCACTTCATGAGCCAGATCTAGGAACATCCGTTTCCTACTGTAGCTGGCTATTCGCCAACGACCACACAGAAATTGGAAGTTGCCGTCACCAAAGCATAAAGAAGGCAACAGTAGCACGTACTAAAGCATTAAGCATCGGATTAAGTCAGATGAGGGGTTATACAAGTCGGCAAGCGCCTGTACACAGCCATTGCCCTATGCCACACGAGCAGGGGTTGAGGCATTTCAAGATATCTGACTTTCATGAGACTAATGATGATGCCCAGCCCAGGAACAAGAGAGCCCAAGATCTGCGGCACTCCCTCTACCAATACATCCAACTTTCATCTCGTCTTGTGCCATATACACATACGAGGTGGGCAGCACTAAACGCAGTTGACTTTCTGTCAGACTAAGAAGAGAATCAAGATTCTGGATGAGAGTGCTTTAGTTCCGGAACTTCATCTCTCCAAGATCTGCTATCAAATGGTTCTCAAATGCCGGCAGTTTAACCCGAGAGAATGATATACAAGGCTTTCAAGAACCTTCGACAAGTCTCCATCTTGTTAAGAGGCCTAGGGACAACCTTGAAACCCGTGAAAAGGGTTTGCGTCTGCATACTTAGAAAGGTAGTCGTGGAGATGACCTCAGGGAAACTAGATAGGCCTTCAGAGGTGGGCATGTTAGACTCATGAGCAAATCATCAAGATAACATGCTTGATATTATTGTTAGTATATCCTACGTACTTGGATGAAGTATGGTGATAACTCTATGTAAAGGTGCTCAGTCTCTTCTCGGAAGTATCAAAAGCAAGATCAGAGGCAGTGCAACAAGAATAGCTAGACAAGCCACTGACTGAAAGACCTTACTCTCTTCTTTGATGTTGGGCTCGAACATATGGAGTGAGAAACCATGGCTAGCGGGAATCAAGCTCATACTACGGGCGTCTTCGATGAACCTCATCCTTGCCAAGCCTCAAGTCAAGCTCGCAAAGGCAGGCATCCGCAAAGACTCGGCCGTCTGAGGTATCTTCTTTGGCCAGACCAGGCCAGACAAGACCAAGTCCTCGACTCTACAGCTTCCCGCCGGGCAATACCACGCCAAGTGTTTCCGAACAGCAATTCACCCGTTCAAAAAAGACTCTCATCCAGGGTTCCGAACCAGAAAAAAACCCGTCCGCCGCTCGCGTCCAAGCACGACATAGCCGTCGCCGCTGGTCGTAGGCAGTCGAATCGGAGGATTTGATCCTGAGCCCTACCTACATCCCCTGAAGCTGAAGAAAGCGGTCAGAGGCCTGGCCCGACACTTTAGCTGTTAGTATATCATTGGTGAGTATGATGTACCGGCGGCCAGGTGAGGTGACTGAGTCTGACTGAGATATGCGGTGTGGCAAGTCTCTTGACCAACGTATGGCGTTCCACGGTACGTGGGATGGCGAACTTGGTCCTGGCAATTTCACATCAGCGTATTCGGGTTGAGTTTGCCATGGACGAGCAAAGTGGTGCTTCACTGCATGCTTGGAGTCGAGGCGGCAAAGTGCAGATGACTGAAGGTTGCTCTTGGTCTCCAAGCCCAACCAGCAGATAGTAACGGGCCATACCGCCAGTGGTCGAATCCTGAGCCGTAGGTCTCGCGACGAACGACAGCCAATGAAGCCAACATCGCAACGAGCCGGATCAATGGACATCCGTGACCTTGCTGAATGATCTTCGTTGCATTAGGATGCAGTAGGCAGAATCTGGGGGGCCGCGTTGGGGGGATCTGAACTCATTTCAACGTCCTCGAAAATCGCAATAGGGAAGGGGTGGCATCAAAGATAGAGAGAAAGAGAGAGCAGAGTTGACGACGACCTGTCGTTTGAGCGTGGTCCCGGAATTGGTTCTTCACGTAACGGCAGGGCGGTACTGCAATGCCGACAACACCCTAGTTCACAGCAAGGTCCCCGCCAGACCGGAGAATTTGGGCGGCCTTTTGGTCTGGGATCTGCGACCGTCTCATTGGAAACCACAGATTGACGATAATGCTTCTGTCCCAAGTTGAAGGATTTTGCGGGACGCGTTTCGGTCTTTCCCTAGGAAATTCGCGAAATCTCGAGAAGTGTTCGCTATACCAGCAACGTCAAGGTAGGAACCCAGATCGCCATTTGAGGACGCGAGCTGATGTCGTTGCCAACTTTGGAGGGTTCGGCATGTACAGGCACAGCACAGCCACGATACGTTAGTGAAAAGGAAACTGGCCGGCAAGCATTTTTGACAGGCCAAAGTCTCCTCAGTCCTCACTAATAAAGAAAGCCGGAGCAGGGATACCATGCGCCATCCGGTGGCTTGTTGACCAGCGCCGCACGGAATGGACGATGTATCCGTACGGATACAACGGTTGTGCCATTCACTGATCCACCTTGGAGACCTCCTTTCTCACATCTAGCCGGGTTAGAGATTCAGGCACCACTTGATTGATGGTTCTACCGAGTCTTTAGGTTCCAGATTGGATTTGTTTGCCGGCACTTGCGTAAGTCGCTCTTAATCCAGGCGAATGCCAAGTGCGTCGACGCTCGAGGGAAGACAGAACGCCTAGGGCCCTCAGCGGCCGGGTCAGGACTGATATTTTGGGGATGAGAAGCAAAGGTTGGCCTAGAACCAGCCGACAAATGTGCCCTTTCCCATGAGTTGCCAAAGCAGCTTGAATACTGCTTGCTGAGTTGCCCTCACTGCAAGCATGTCAACCTATACGATGCAAGACTCAGGAGATAGGCAGCCATAGGTGCTGCTGAGAGAAAGCCCGATGTTCCGTTCGGTGCGAGCGGTGGTCGATCAGTGTCCCGCCAATTTTATGACAAGGGTTGTTAATTGAAGCGACAGGTAGCCAATAACACCGAGTTAACGCTCATCTCTGGCCTGTCTGGCTCTAATCATCTAATGATCGATCCATAGACATTTCAGCTGAGCAGCACACTCGACTTGAGGCCGCGGTGAAGGTGATTCCGCCCACGGTCCAGCATTGCATTGAGAAATTGCGTTGTATAAAGGACGCAACGCAGCCGCCAAGGAATACAGGCGCGTACTCGTATTGCCAAAATGCGTTAACGGCTGGCTGCAGACAAGATGCTGATTCTCAGCCTCAACCTTTCCGCAATGTCTTGCTTTTTCTTTGCCGTAGCCGCTCCTGCGAACTGGGGAACGGCTCTAAGCATGAAAAGAATCGAACGACCGGCGTTGGCTGGGTTTAATAACGGCTTTCGGTTGCATTGAACGCGCGAGACCGTGTCTTGGCTAAGCAGCTCGTGGCGTTATTCCCGAAGAAGCTGCCCGTTTCTGGGTCTTTGAGAGGAGCGTTAAGAGGACAGCTAATATAGACGAGGATCCATGATTGTGGCGCGGCTTGTCGCCCTAAGAGGTTACGTTCAGCGTCCGTGAGTAGCATTCGGTGCGTCATCCATCAACAAGGTCAACTTTTTAATAGAGATTGGTCAGGGGGCAAGAAAAAAGCATTTTAAAAAACTAAAGAACTTATTATCTCGGAATTAATTATAATAATTCTAGACCCTATAAAGCTATTTAAAGTTAAAACGGACGTTTTAAACTTTATTATAGGAGCCGTACTTGTCACGGTAGCAGGCAGGTTGTTTGGCAGGTGGATGCTGGGCAGGCGGATCAGACAATCTATTGCTACGGGCAGGCTCTATCCTAAGCAGGTACTGTTGAAGTGCAGAAGTGGAATTGGGCGGGTATGCTCGGACCAGAACGAGCAATCTGAACCCACAATAATCTGGGTGAGACCAACCAATGAAAATGCAGGAATCCAGGTGCCTCAGATGAGGGATATTCCTGGCTGCATATGGAAAGGAGAGAACACAACATAGACAACAATATGATCACAATAATCCACGACAGGTACAGGCTCTGTTGACAAGACGTAGCTCAAGGAGCTACGTTTCTGGACATGCGCGACAGAATACAGGATGCAGAGTTTTATCCAGCCTCAGGCTTACGTAACCCGGCCACCGGATTACTCAACACTAACCTCAAGGTTGGGGTCTAGGACAGCGGGTCTGTGACAGTACTAGAATAATAAAATAAATAAGAAAAACTATATCTTTATATTTTTTACTCGAAGGTATTCTATAGATTAGAATTAAACTAATAAATCTACGATAAGAAACTAATGTTACGAGCAGGACAACGCAACCAACTGTGGCACAAAGCAAAAGCTTCGATAATGATGACTCCAGCATCATTTCCCCTTGTTCTGCATTATATAGCTACGCGCCCACAGTGACAAGTTGCTCAACACGCATCAGTACTGTGCTAAGCGGCTACTGAGTGCATCAGACGGGTCTGCGTGGCACAAGGTAGCCTGTATCACATGCTATCTTGACACAGTCCAAGGCGCCGCCTCACTGAGACCAGATGCTCTCCCCCAAAGACGATTTGCGGTATAATCAACTTCACTTCCTCACACCATCACATACGACCATACCCATTGGAAAACTCGGGATCCCGTCCGCTCTCCCATAGATAAGCCAATGAGGGCCGGATTAGTAGTTGGGTCGGTGACGACCAGCGAATACCTGGTGTTGTATGTTTTTGAAGTTTTGTTCGTTGATGATGGATGGGATGGGAGGTGGACCCAGGACTCCGCCGTGGGTGGATCTATGTTGGGGCTGTTGAGTTGTGTCCGGATACCTCGTCTTGTGTGTCTTTTGGGTTTGGTTCATTGTTAACTGGAACTCTGAATCTCCGTCACCCGTCAAGGGTAGGGTACCAGATAGCCACTCAGTTGTCTACTCAGTCGGATCCAAGGCACTCAACGGAGCCACAGGGTTTGGCTTTGTCACCTACCGAGGCAAGAGACGCGTTGCCCAAGGCTGCGGCCGGCTAGGCCTGGCGGAAGTATTTGACGGCGAGGCTGAGGGGGCGAGGGCAGGGCTTCGGCGGGCTCTCCTGACCTCCCAGGGCCAGCCTATTCATGTCTGCATCGACAATACTAGCGTTATCCAGGGGATACGGGGTAAAGTCCCAGATTCTTCACAGGAAGCATTCCTCGAGATTAAGGAGGCTGCCACAATACATGACATACAAACCCACTGGGCCCCAGGGCACCAAGGGATAGAGGGCAACGAGGAGGCTAACCGGCTAGCTAAAGTGGGCACAACTCTCCCAGTCCCACGAGGCAAACTGGCCACCTTATCAGGTATCAAGCGGCTCTACCGGGAGCGCCTACGTGGCCAATATACACAATGGTGGGAGGAGGAGGCAAATACCCGATATGCACAACTAGGACTAGAGGCCACTCTCACCGGTCCCCCTGAATTAGCCCTACCGCGGGCTACCCTTCATCACCTCCTAGCGGCCCGCTCAGGCCATGGAGACTTCGAACAGTATCATCAACGCTTCAATCACTCAGAAGCACTGCTGACCTGCTCCTGCGGGGAGGCAAAGGAAGTAGACCACCTAGTCTACTGCCCAAAGACCTTAATGAGGAGGCAACGGTGGCCTACCCTCTACCCTTTTAGTCCGCAAGAGCCCATAGGACCTATGAGATCTCTCGAGCGGTACTTTAAAGGTCTAATCACCGATTCTCAAGGCTTCCAGGCTTTCCTCCGCGTGACAGACTTCTTCCAGAAGATCTGCCCGCGGCGTTAGGGGCTTAGCTGCTGTTAAGCTCCTTACTCACAGAACAGCTCTCCTTTGTGGAGGTCATTCACTCATGTTGGACCTAGGGAACCAGAGGGAACTAGGGACAGATAAAACACATAGAAGCATATGGGCAAGAATTGGAGGACGTTAGGAAGAGATATGTACCTTAGAGTAGATAGCCTGAGCCTACGGCTCTCCACGCCACATACCCCTCGGGAGGTCTGCCGCAAGGGCGGCTGCGCCCTTGCCGCCATGGCGTTAAATACAACAAACAACAAACAAACAAAAATACACGCATATTATACTGGAGCTATCATCACATCGTATCTAATCCCACATCAACTCCTCCCGTGCCCATCAGTCACCATGGCTTACATCTTTGCTCCCCGAATCTCCCTTGGCTTCCACGACCCCTTCCTCAACAATGAACCTTGCGCCTTCCTTACCACCACAAAAACTCACTATTGTCTTGTCGGCCCGAGACTCCAGTTCAGAGAGTTGTAGAAGAGGTACTGATGAGCCAATTTCTCGTCCATCATTTCGCTCATTCGAGCTGTGTTCCTCTGATATGTTGTAGAATATCAAAGGAAGGATTGACGACTTCCAGATGGGCTGCTTCCCGCTGTCCCGGCAACTTTGCACATATGCGGCCACGAGCAGGGCTGATGTCAATACTAGAAGTGCTGCAGGGTAAAGTAGCCACCATGCTTCAAGCCTTACGCAAATGGACGTTTGGTTACAGGTTCCCTCCTGATAGCTGTTTGATGTCTCCGTTTCTGACCAACTCCGTCCATTAAGTCGCATACGATTCGTTATAGCGACAGACATGTTGTCGTGAGCAGATGCAAGGCTGTCAAACGTGGCCAGTCCTCCGCTGTAAAGAGCGTCGAGCCACCAACCTGTTTGGCATTGTAGCTGGCTGGAGTTTCCGATTCCATTGACCGCTTCAGGAGATGTTGGTCCGTTTTCGGTGACATCGAAGAGTTTGCACTCCCCTTTTAGTTTATCCTCGAAGAATAATCTAATGCCATGGAATTCGCGTTTGTTCATGGTTCTGACACATTGACCCGGCGCCTCCTTTGTGACTCCGTCTGAAGTCCACCCGGCCCAGGCTAGGCCATCTCGAGGGGCATCGGTGATATTAGATAAATCGTACCATCTTTCGTCTATGATGCAAGGCTGGATCATCGAAACGTACAACGACCCATTATGAGACAATGGCTCAGTCGAAAGCAGATGCTCATTCAGAGTACCATTCGTAACGTTTCCACTATAATAGCGAATACAAGGATACAGACTGCAGTTGGCAGCCACAATATCAAGGTCAGAGCTGAGCCTCGGCATATTCTTATAGTCATGCTCGCAATATCGATCGGCCGGGGCATCTGGGTTACGCTGCGCAACGCAACCTTCCACTGAGAGCGTCAGGAAAGACGTGATGATCGGACTCTCATCGTGATGGTTAATGATTGTTGTTGTATTGAACAATTCCGGTTCAACGCCAGTGTTGATGGAGAAGTTAGAGTCCTTGTGGAAGCGGTAATTGTTACGATATCTGCCGAGCAATTTTGTCTTTGAGTCTTCAAACTCATTCAAATCGGACTTCACATCGGCACACTTGCTGCAAACCCCGACAGACGAGTGCGTAACTCCAGAGAGGTTTTCGAATACACAGTTACCCGACTCGCACTTGAATAGTAGAGAACTGTCGGGAGGTATGCCAAGTAGACCGTTGATAATGGCGGTGCTCATCTTCGCGTTGGTATGTGCACCACTTATTTCGGAATCGTGCCTCGTAACACGTTCGGCTGTCAAGATACGAGCTATTCCAACAGATGAGACCTCGCAGGAATATGTTTTGACAGCTTGCTGGGAAAGGGGGCCGGTGGCGTAAGAAGCAACCACAATCAGAGCACCTAGTACCGTTGCGTTCCTATTGTAAGTGTTATTGAGACTCTCATCCATTTACAAATTGAAGTATAGCATACGGTTTACGGATGGCTACTAGGAACTTGAGTGATCCCCATGCACCCTTGCCAGCGTTGTCAAAATGTTCGACATGACGTAGCGGCCGCGGCGCCGACATCCACAACCATTTGGCTTGTCCAAAGACTGATAACATTAGTACTATGTACTTCTACAAGGGAGACTAGACGGAAATTTTTACCTTCTGATAGTACGAATAACATCGCGGCTCTCAAGAGGGTGGTCAGAATGGCAACAAGTGTGTTGATGCTCACACTATACGCCCAAGCCGGTTGCGGCTTGCCATCGCTGACCACCAAGAGAATAACCATTACAATGAAGGCAGTCACAGAGGTCAGAAGTGCTGCAAACTCGAGACTCCATTGTTTCAAGGTTGAAACTCTGTCGAGAGGTTGGTAAAGTAGGCTGTTCTTCTCCGTCTGGTTGAGATCCCCCTCATCGATGCCTGAAGGACTGGTTGATGAGGGCCGGTGGATTTCTTCTCGGAACTCTTCCTCTGTAGGAATGATCGTATAGTCACTTATTGATTCATCGTTCTGAAAGTTATTGGGCTGCTGGCTTGGAATGCCTGTGCTGCGATGCACTTCAGATGTAACTGATACAGACGAAGGTCTAGAAGGTGACCAATCACTGGTGACGTGATGAGAGTCTTGGTGAGTCGCCATTCTGAGATGTTTCAGCCATTTGAAAATACTTCGAAAAATATGCAGGCACCACAGAGGGAATCAGTTCTTTAATAAATCGGGACGATTAAGAGATGCATACCGTAAATCAGGCTTGAGCCCGCAGGGGCCTCGACGCACCTACCACGCATTATAAGCTTATGGCTTCCCGCCCCGTGGCGAGGAGGGCTTGGCTGCATGAACTACATGACGACCGATTGATTTACGCCGCACTGCCCATCTGCGGTGCAACGAGGAATCTAATTGTGGTTCTTCGTACAGAAAAACGCAGGCTGGCAAGCTGAATCTGTAGGCCACAGGCAACCTTGTCCCAAAATGACATACTGTGGCGTCATCAACCTCCTCAGAAAACCCAGCAATCACCACAAGCAGTGTAATCAGACAACTCGGTTGAAAATTAAATAACTACAGATAATGGGCTTGGGTAGATTGGAACTGCTGTCAGCCAGTCCTAGCCCAACAAAAAGACTGACTAGCAAAATCAACCTGGAAGTCACTGTCGGAACGGCAAGGCTGATAAGGAGCAATGGGCAGGTATCGTGGGCTGGCTGGCGCCTGCCCGGGGCGAAGTGGGACAATCGGCTTAGTCATCATGGCCGGTTAAGGTGGGGCAACCACCCAGGCTGTCACCACCTACTTCGACCGACCCCTGCCCACAATGTAAATAGGAAGAACAACAGCAATTATCACGGACATCGACGTGATTGTTGCCGAAGATACACCCTCATGAGGAAATTTATCACGCCTGTGATACCAACAGTCACAATTCCAAACCAGACGGCGCAGCAGAAAGCAGCTCAAAGCAACCCACCTGTCCTACCAAGTCTAGAAGATAAGAGATCCGAGGTTACATTACAGCGTAGACGACCGTCGCTTGAGTGTCGGCATGGAAGCTGATTTCGGTTCCAGTCTCAAACACCCACCAGACCACCTCTCATGAAGCATATGACCCTTGGATTGAGTTCTGGCCCACGGCTTCAACTTCCATATCTTGAGTAGTACCGAGAACTTACCGCATTGACTTTGTCATCTCATTGACTATACGATCAAACGGAATAAGTTACTATGCCAACAGTAACACTCACAGAGGAAAGAGAATCACAAATGCTTTAGCTGGACAATTGCAGGAGAATGTATTTAAGTCATCTGGACGAATGTTGTTTAAATGAAATGGACGTACAGTGTTTTCTTAGTTGACGACTGAACCTACATTAAAAGAGAAGCCATAAGAGAGTCTGACTCTATATAGAGAATATTCAGATAAACCGAGCTTCAACCGCATCTTTCATGAAATTGGAAAGACAGCTCCTTGACCTTCCACCGGCTCTTTAACACTCGAGCATAGCACTCGGACGATATAGAGGCTTCAGCAGTACTATGAGATCTTTGATTTCATCTCAACAAATGTATACTAGCACATCGAAGACGTTGTGAGTGTGCTGCATATGGAGACTCATGTTACACCGAGGACCTATCCCTGAAGAGATAGGAGCTCGGGGTGAATAACTGCAAACAGACTGTATCTGCTTAAATACGCAAGGAACAAACATATCGATAGACCTACCCCTTCCTGGAGCCCCCAAGACGACCTACCCTTGACGGGTGACGGAGATTCAGAGTTCCAGTTAACAATGAACCAAACCCAAAAGACACACAAGACGAGGTATCCGGACACAACTCAACAGCCCCAACATAGATCCACCCACGGCGGAGTCCTGGGTCCACCTCCCATCCCATCCATCATCAACGAACAAAACTTCAAAAACATACAACACCAGGTATTCGCTGGTCGTCACCGACCCAACTACTAATCCGGCCCTCATTGGCTTATCTATGGGAGAGCGGACGGGATCCCGAGTTTTCCAATGGGTATGGTCGTATGTGATGGTGTGAGGAAGTGAAGTTGATTATACCGCAAATCGTCTTTGGGGGAGAGCATCTGGTCTCAGTGAGGCGGCGCCTTGGACTGTGTCAAGATAGCATGTGATACAGGCTACCTTGTGCCACGCAGACCCGTCTGATGCACTCAGTAGCCGCTTAGCACAGTACTGATGCGTGTTGTTCGAGGTGATCCTGTGCATGAAGATTCCGTTTAATTGAAGAAACGTTTTGCACTCGCCACTGTCGACCGTTATTGAACTAAAGCGGGTGAAGGGGGTTGATGAATATCCGAGGGGAAATGCCCCCCCCCCCCCCCCCACACGCGCCGCCACACGCTCCCGTCAGCTTGACCTTGGAGGCAATGCTCGGGCATGCCGAGTTCCATCGGCCCCGGGGGGCTCGGGGGTTATGTTTGCGGCAAGATGCGACGAGCACGGGGAAATAAAACAGGAAAAAAAGATGGTTGATTGATGGGAAAGTCGGGGCAAGGTACTTGGCAATCGGCTACCAATTTTTGAAAACAACGCTTGGCTGGGGGAAGGGAGGGGGGGGTGAGACGATCGTGACCTCGATTAAGCTCGGGTGGTTGTGTGCTGCGGTTGGCGCTGATTGGGCTGGGGACTTCAGGTTCAGCTGGAACGGTTCAGGCTTGTTGGTTCAATGGTTGATGTGTTTCTCTGGATTGGGAGACTGGACGGCCCGGCCGGGTGAGACGGATGCGTCACGTCCTTCAAGGTGGGAGGATAGTGCTGCTACTCTGGTAGAGGTAGTGACAGCATATTCCATGATGAAGATGATTTGACGCGGGCGACTAAGAACGGGTTGGCGGATATCCGTCGAGCTACGAACATGCAGAGGGGAGGGAGACTGGGAATGGGGATCACCTATCCGTACTAACGTAAGGTAAGGAAGGTATCAATAGGTAGAGAGTGATGTGGAATTTGGAAAGGAAACGGGACCGGGTGTTGGTTGTGAGGTAGCAGCGAATGTCACCCGTTTGGTGGTTTTGGAGAGGAGCGGCTACGTCATCGACGGGGTTTGACGCGCAGCGCTGGGAGCTTTTCTTGGCTTTCGTGGTGACTCTTTGCGACCAGTCTAAGAGGAAATGAGGCAATGTCACCAAAGTGAGATTTACTTAGCTAGTCAAATATAAGAGGAAGAGACAGTTCTCATCCCGTGTGCGTGCGACTTGGGATGGTCTTTCGCTCCATGACTGTGTATACAAAAGCAACAAAAGTGATGAAATGTGTTTTGCAAGAGGGACCAGATGAGAGACTGGATTACTGGTAAGAAAGCCCGTGATGTGTTGGAATGATTGGTGACACTGCAGTCGACAGGCCAGGCCGTAGATGGCGATGCCCCCTTGGTGTTTCGTCCGAGGCAATCACGGTTCACTCACCTTTCTAGGTACCTACCTATGTAATAGCTGGAGGCCGCTGTTGCAAGTTCATACGGGTCAAATGTCTCAAGGTACTTTACTTTACCACTTACCCAAGGTGCCTTAGAGTGGACGATCCCAATCCCCCAAAGTAGACGCGCAATTCAGGGTCCAGCTGCGCTAGGTCGGCGAGGGCACCCTGCAGGCGCAGCACAGCTCCTTGCCAGGTATTCGTCAGTCCGTGTTGAGGTGCGCTGCGGCTTGCGGCTTGCGGCCTGCCCAGGTTCTTGCAGCGGCACCCGCGCGCACAACTTGGTACCTATCGAAGTGCAGCACGGGTAGTGACAGTCGGAAACATCAGATTCGGCGCAAAGCTTCCAGCAACGGTCCAGAGACAGGACGACGATGCACGTCGGTTCTGACACGGGATGCTCCTATTGCACGCAGATATCGTAGTCAGTACGGAGTCTCTGTACGGATACAAAGTGGAATATGTAGAAATGCGGAAAGAGAAAAGGCAAGGTAGAACTTGGAAAGCACATGGCACACCCTGCTCACCTTGCCCCCCTGTCCTGCAATGTCTGTATCCGTCGACGCGGGTGCCCAGAGACTGCGATACCCCGGGTCAAAGTGGGAAGCTGGGCGTGCAAACACCCCCGGCTCAGGGAACCTAATTACCTGACTTTCGGGCTGTCTCCCACTCCTTCACGCGTGACGCTTCGCCCTCGATCCTCGTTCCCCGTCTTCGCTCATTCTTGTCCCGTCCCGCGCTGTCAAGGTGCTTGTGCTTACCTTGCCTTACCTCGATTACTACGTACTGGTATTGATAGCAATCCTGCGCAACACCAGCAAACCCCATCTTGTTCTTACAAACGTCAATCGTGGCACCTCTCTCTCCATCCATTTCTCTCCCTCTTCCTCTCTTTTCCCCTCTCTATTCCTACCTACGTGCCAACGTCAAGCCTGCAACGTCCGGCACGCTCCCGTCATCACCACCTTTGCAGCAACTAGCAGTTCGCGCAAATCCCAAAGGTGCGCAACCAACCTCCGAGACACATCAGCATTCCACCGAGCCAAATCGGTAGCCGCCACTACGACTCGAACGTACTCTATGACGACATTGGTCTGAGCCCAAGACTACTCTCTCCTACAAACATTGCGTCAAGCACACCGCAACTGGATACACTAACCACCCTCCCATTATCGACCCGTCCGTCCCCCCTCCTTCGTCGCGCTAAAGCTGTCTAAAGCCGTCTAAAAGTCCACCGGCGACCCCTTCCGACGCCAGCATCACAGTTGATACCTTGCGCTAGTCTGAGTCGTAGCTGTCGTTTAGGTTAACACCGGCCTCCCGGCGTGTCTCGGTCTCCCTACCTCACAGAATACAAGAGTACCTACTGCGTATTTCGTCTCAAGAACGCCAACAATGGCTGCCAGATCCCCGCCTCCGTCTACACCCACGCCAAAGGCATACTCCAACCACGCGCCGCACATCGCTGATCCCGATTCCTACAGGGAACCAGCTACACAAGACATGGACAGAGCTGCCTATGGCGCTGCGGCCGACAGGAACTCAAATCGCACCTCGTCCTATTTCCCTCAACAACCACCTCAGCTCTCCTCCTCCTCGTCCTACAACTCTCCCGCTTCCGGCGCATCTACATATCCTACCCCTCAGAACGCCGCTCCTCTGCCGTACGACGGGGACCAAGAAACCCAATACAACACTCTTGCCAACTCGCAATCCGTCAGCCACCAAACACAGCACTTCCCACAAGGAGGTGACGGTGCATACTACGATCCCCCGACTGCTGCTTCAAACTACAACAACAACAACCTAGTCGTACCCTCCGCTACCACCCAGGGCAAGTTCACAGAGGAATGGGATGCAAGTCAAAGAGGAAGCAGCATCATTGACGTTTCCAACATGCCGCGGTCCAACTCCTTCGTCTCCAACAATGGGGACGATCATCTGAACCTCCCCTCACGCCACAATACCCTCAAGAAGAAGAACTCGCTGCGCAGAAATGGCAGTCTGAAGCGGAGCAGTAGTCGCCGGAGCATGAAGGCTGGTAGCGTTCGCAGCCTGGCTCTGCAGTCCTCCAACGACGCAGATGAGGTGCACAGCGCTTTTCATTGCCCGGTCCCAACATCTGGGAACCCGACCGAGGCCCTGGCCAATCGATTCCAGTGTAAGATTTTTCGTGGTGCTGGTGAGCTACGGGGTACACTAGAGACTAACATGATTTTGTAGCTTGGCGGAAGATTCTCAAGGATCTTATCGCATACTTTCGCGAAATTCAGACGCATTACGAGCACAAGTCCAAGTCACTGGTGAAGCTAGCCAATGTTGCCAACAACATCTCCAGCCCTCCGGGTTTCCTGAACTCGGGAGGCATCGACGATGCGCTGCAAATACTGCGTGCTTACCACAAGGGCGCCATCCTAGAATCGAACAAGGCCAAGGAGATTGAAGAGGATGTTATCCTAGCTCTTGCTGGGTTGAGAAACGATCTCCACCAGAAGATCAAGGAGATCAAAAACCTCTCTGGAGATTTCAAGAATTCCGTTGAAAAGGAGATGGACAGTACCCGAAGGGCCGTCAAGGCTCTGCAAGATACTCTGGGCCAGACCGACCTCGACCCATCGCTGACGACTGGGAAGCAAGATCCTTACCTGTTGCGGCTCGCGGTGGACAGACAAGTCGAGCGCCAGATCGACGAGGAAAACTACTTGCACCAGGCTTACTTGAACTTGGAGAACTCTGGCCGGGAGCTGGAAGCTATCGTGGTTGGTGAAATTCAGAAGGCTTATAATGCCTATGCTGGCATACTCAAGCGCGAGTCTGATGCTGCGTACGGAGCAATTGAAGAGTTGCGCGTTGGCCCAATCTCAATGCCCAAGGATTTCGAGTGGTCGCATTTCGTTCAAAAGGACGATCAGTTCGTGGACCCCAACATCCCCATCCGCTCTGCCGAACACATCCACTATCCCGGCCGGGAGCACGTTGGGTGCCAGGAGATTCGCGCTGGATTGCTCGAGCGCAAGAGCAAATACCTCAAAAGCTACACAGCTGGCTGGTAAGTGAATCCCCAAGTACGTTCACACTATCATCAAGAACGCGTTACTGACACTATCGGCCACAGGTATGTACTTTCATCGACTCATCTTCATGAATTCAAGTCCGCAGACAAGGGCCAGGCCCCCGTCATGTCTTTATATCTTCCAGAGCAGAAATTAGGTTCGCACTCCAGCGAAGGAGGATCATCCAACAAATTTATCCTCAAGGGTCGCCAGACGGGATCAATGCACCGTGGACACACATGGGTCTTCCGCGCCGAGAGCCATGATACAATGATGGCTTGGTACGAAGATATCAAGGTTCTTACCGAGAGGTCGCCGCAAGAAAGAAGCGAATTTGTGCGCGGCCATGTTCGAAGTCTCAGCCAGTCTTCGCAACGCTCCACTAGCAGCGATGGTGTTCTAGAAGACGACGACGACGACGAGCCATTCTCGGCCGACACGGCGGTCGCAGCCAGCACGAGTTCGCGACAAGACGTCCGCCGTCCCGAAGCAGGTGGGCGATTCCCATCCGACATCCAAGTCAACGCACAGCGAGGCTTACAGGCACCTCTTTCGCCATCTAGTGTAAGCTCCGGATTTGACAACTCTGATCGTGACGCCGCCGCGCAAGCATACGCTCTCCCTGGAAGCATGCTAGGCGTTTATCACGGATCGAATGAACATCCTACAGGTTACGGGGGTTCAGACCGGACTCCCATGGAAGAAATGCCCTCCCATGCAGCCGAGTTGTCCCAGCAGGCTCAGGAAGATGGAGTCAACCCTTATACCAGCGAAACGATTCGCCGATCTCAATCCGGCAGCCGTGGGCATCAGGCAGTGTTCGTACCTGGAGCTGAGGAACAGCGGGTGCAGAGCCAAGTTGGCGCTATTGGCAACTACGACGATGAGTCTAGGCCTGTCTCCAATGTCAGTGGATATGACCGTGGCCTCGAGACACCAGGCGGCAACAGCCAATATGGGCAATGGATGAATGGCAACGGGAAAGCCTCCTCAGGCCTGTCCAACCGCGGCGTCGACCAGCAAGAGACGAGCGAGTACTACGCGTCAGGTGAACGATCTGCAGGTCATGTCAATGTGATTCCCATTGTTGGCATGGGCAACGGCCATGCGCAAACCAGGGAGGCTGATCATAATGGGTTCTCTGGCGTTAACAAAGCGTCGACGGCGACAAGCCAGGACGTGCCTCGTCAGCATCAACAATTGTCTGCCATTCGCCCGACTTCCGGCACTCTCAGAACCGACAGCGTACCGACGATTTCCAACTTGCATATCCCAGGTGAATACCCAAAGGGTACGCCAGCGGTTGAGGCTAGACGTTGAAGCTAGACGTCGAGGAGAAGACGTGGCAAATGAACTGGAGTACAGGATCGGCTGGGAGGGAAAATGACTCGGACGTACGACTGGGGGCACTGGAATAGGGGATGGGTCTGGTTGTTCGCGTTCCATCCCATGTGATTGACTACAATGGCATGGGTTTCTTTTGTCGAATTTCCTAGTCCCCAATGTGACCGAAGATGGAAAATGAGTGCTCAGGGGAGCAATGCGCTGGAAGAGCAATGAGGGTGCCGACCCCCATTTTCATTTTGACATTATTTTATTCATCTACTTGGCGATTTCCAGCACAATGCAAATGATATCCAAACCTTTCGAGACGCTGAAATTCTGTTTTTCCTAGGCGTATTCGTCTTCGTCAGATCTACCTCTGAACTTTACTACAAGCACTAGGAGTGCTGTCGCACATATTACTGCCAGGCCACCTAGTCCGGTCCCAAGATATTGGGCTCCATGGAACCCGGACAGCTTGGCTACGCCACCTGGATTAACCTGGACCTCTACGGTTCTCGCCATTCCAAAAGCTAGCGACATGCCGTAGCTCGACACAGCCAAAACCAGACCACTCGCGACTCCTTGTTGCCCCTCTGCCAGGTTTTGTCTAAGCAGGATGGTAGCGAGTGGCGTAGTCGAGACCATCCCAAGCGAAGCGAACAAGGTGCTGACGAACGTATTTGCCCAGTACGTTTGATCGGAGGGTGCCGTAGCCATGAGGATGGACGCTAGTAAAAAGGATAGGACGGCGGCAAGGAAAGCCCAGTATACCTCGTCTCCAGGCATCAGATACGCCAGCAGCAGGCCCACCGCTACAGCCTCGACGGCGACGGGCACGAATCCCGCGCTGGCGAGGAGCGGATTCCAACTGCGGAGGACCTCGACGGCTTGGAAGCCGTAAAAGGCCCAGAGGACGAAGCAAGCCCACGCCGCTGCCGTGCAGCCCAGGATCAGGTTCGGCCTCGAGGTCATGGCGCGCAGCGGGAGTAAGGGGTTCGCGGCGGCGGTCTCGTTGTAGAGGAAGGCGGCGAGGAGCATGGTGCCGATAATGAGGATGAAGTAGGTGTATGGTGTGCGCCAGCCTACGGCAGGTGCTTGGTTCCATGCGAAGCTGAATAGGATGAGGCCGCTGCTGCTGAGGAGGGTTCCGGATAGGTCGAGCTGAACCCAGATGGTGTGAGCGTATGCGGGTTTCCGGGGGCCTTGTCGTGGGACGACTAGGAGACTGAGACCTGCGGCGGAAACGTTGACGGCCGCGAGAACGAAGAAGGACCATTCCCAGGAATCGTTGTAGGCGAAGAGAGAGGACATTACGGCGCCGACTACGAAGCCTACGGGTGCGGCGACGCTGAAGAACGCGAGTGCCATGTCCTTCCTCTGGCTCGGCGGCAGAGTCGTCTCGAGAACGGAGAAGCCGTTGGGTATGCAGAGCGCCGGCCCGAGACCCTGCATGGCACGGCAGAAGCAGAAGTAGGCGGTGCCGTTCGCCGCACCGTTCTGGACACTAACGGAGAAGCCGGCGAGGAGGCTCCAGAGCGCGAACCAGAGACATCCGACAATGATGACGCGTTTGCGGCCAAAGACGTTGCCCAGGCGTTCGGACGGGAGGGCAAAGGCCCCTATGGTGAGTGTATAGGCCGCGGTGAACCACGAGTGCTGGCCGCTCGGTAGATCCGGGAACGACTCGGCGATGGCGAGGGCCGGTGCCATGGCCTGGGCGAGACTGGCGAACATGAGGAGTTGGTAGAGGCTGACGACGGCTACGAGGAAGGACTCCTTTGCGGACGATAGAGGCTCTGGCGGTATTTCTCGGAGGAGGGGCTCTTCCGGGTACGTTGTGTTTTGTAGGGCCCAGGAGATGCGTTCCTCGTTTTCGGGGTACCTGGATTTCTCGCCGGGTCTGTTGAGGGGCGTTGCCTCCGTTGAGGACCTGAATCGTTGTGTGAAGACTATCCTTCTGGCGGCCTCGAATAAGTCTGGGTACTCTGAAGGATGCTCGAGCGCCTCTGGACCTGACCCTCTCGGTAGTGTGGTAGGCTTTACCAACGGCGTCGAAGTCGCTGGTTGTTGGGCATTTGTTTCCGGTTCGTTGGATGGGTGTGTGATATCTGTAGTCGGATGTCGGGGAACGGACAACGCTCCTAGCATCATGGTCCGTGAAAGCGGCGACGTAGTCGGGTCACGAGAGGAGGTAGGCGATACAGGCAATACGGCATCGTGTCTCGAGATATCGAGGGCCGAGGGAGCTGTGCTTGGCCGAGAGTAATGAGAGTTCGTCGGGCTCACGCCGTCGTCAGAAAGAATAGGGGAGACGAGAACCGGAGCCGAAGTCCGCCAGCTCAAGTTCCCAGGCCCGTTGGGCCCGAATGGCCTATTATCATTGGCATGTTCTTCTCGGAACTGTTGTCGAAAGGACTCTGTGACTGCTATCATGACGTCCGCCACCCTCTGCATGGCCTCGTCTGCGTTTCGTGTTTCCCATGCTGTCGTCGGTGTGCGAGTAATAGACGGTGAGTGTGTGGTGCTTGAGTTGCTCATGTCGGTATGTATTAAGAATATTCATTGGTGAAAACCGCTGAGTAGTAGAGTATGGTCATCCAGTTTTCAATATTTGACTGGACTCTATCTTAGGGGCGGCAACACGGAGCGAATAGTGAAGCACAGGTAGTTAAAGGTGTGAGAATAGAAAGCAACGCCAATACAAATGAAAAAAAGGAAGATGGAGTAGGAGAAAGGGAGCAGAGGAGGCCGATTACCAGTCCAAATCAGGTGCGGGTAGGCCTTGATAGATGAACATTTGCTTGTAGGGGCACGCAGAGCAGCCCGAGATACAGACAACACAGGATCGGGCATTGAACGAGACACACTTGCCCAACCTTGGTTACTTTCCTTGGTAGCTTGAACGACTCGACAAATGAGTGTCCACTTCAAAGCTTGAGCTACCGATCCCTGGTGGATGCTGACGATGGCACTCGCAAGGGGGCTGGCGTAGGCAGTTATTATCCTTTTGGTCATGGGCATGGGCCTTGATCAGGGCGCCGCAGCAGACCACTGCCTCTCCGCGGTCCCGCGTCTCGAAGAGCTCGTTTAAGGCTACTGGAGCTTGTCTAAGAAAAGTGTCAATGCTTGTTCATCTGAGCTGAGGTGTTTGCTGCTCGAGGCAGACACGTTAGGGGGGATCTTGATGCATGTCTCTCTTATTTTCGGGTGACCATCGGTAGGCGGCATGCAAGATATGCATCTTGCCGGCACATTAGACTAGTGTGTCAAATCGACACTCGTCTTTGGATCGCACCAGCATTTTATGGACACACGCGGTGGCATCCTATTCAATGCACTCCATCGGGTTGTCAGGGCTATTACTAGTACCCAGAACCCACGATTACGGATGGCTAGGTATTCGTCAAGAGAGACACCAGAGGGTAACAGTATACAGACAATCAAATGTGCTTTTGATGTTCAGCAATGCTTCAACTGCCTTGGGTCATGAATAGATAGACGACGTTGTGACAGGGATCTCGGTAAACAAGCAAGGCTGATGCGAAGGAGGATGGGGGATTGGCGCCAACGGTGTAAATCAGACCCCACTTGTCAAAGAACCGCGCCACCAACAGAGATCCTTCGTGAACGCCCCAGACCGCTTGAGGGAACTTCCGTGGTACCGTACGAATGAGGCGGAACTCGTGGTCTAGTACGACAAGTGCCATCATATTGGCGGGTCTCGGATCAAAGTCAACGTTATTTCGTGCTGAGCTGACATGAGAAACGAACTCTGTCCTACTAACGGGTCAGAGTTGTCAGAAAGAGTTGATCCGATACGAAATTCGTGGCTGAGTTGCGAGGAAGTGAAGTGACTACACTATGGGTATGAAGATGAGTGGGGGAAAGAGGAGACAAAATGGTGCCGAGCCCGAGAGGGAACATGGCATTGGAACTCAATCGTAAATCTCCAAAACGGTAAGTCGTCAATGGTGTGCTCGAAATCTGGCTTGCAGTCATTGCCGGTGGTGGGACGACTGGAATGAAAGGCGTTGTGATATTTTTGGAAATGACATTCCGTCAGAGACTCAGCCTCATTGCAGAAAGGTAACAGCGGGGCTGCGGAAGCCGCTTAGACTCTCCGTCCTAGACCGGCTGCCTAGGTAGGAACCAAGCCACTCATTCTCTTATATTAACTTTAAGTAACTAAGTAGTTTTCTTCTTTGATCTGGCAGTTGAGAAACGCGCGGCAAAGGCAGCAAGCATATGAAATTGACGACGCACTTGGAGGTGGAGGAAGGTATGCGCATCCACTGCTAACAACCTAGTAGTCTAATCATTTTCCGCAGTGAACTTGACTTCGTCGCCTACTGATGATGAAGTGCACGGCGCAATGACGAACGCGACTACACCGCCATGCAATGTTTCTACTGTTTCATTCGCTGCTCTGCTAAATCTCATCTTTGCTGTTTGCACTGTCTGCGGTTGTTGTCGCATGGAAACGATCACTAAACTAAGAAAAGGCGAGATGCGTTCTCAACACTAGCCGGCGAGGGGTTGGCCAAAAGAGCGACGGCCCCGACTTGAAGAGATGAGCACTACTAGTCTCAGTTATTCATCAACTTTATTTCTCAGAGATGGCCAGAACTAATTGGCTCGTCCGCGAGACCTAGCAGAGAGGTCACACTAGTGGCTAAGAGACTTCAAACAGTCCATCGCAGATATGAGGCCGTGACCGTCGTGAACTGTCCGACACTTTCAATCAAGACTTTTCTCTATTTTTTGGTTGACCACAGTGGATGATGTACATGTAGCCTCGAACCCCTATCGCCAGGCCCGATATGAAAGCAAAGCAAACCCGAACGCCAGAGTCGTAGTCCAACAGATAAAACCCTCCCCTACTCAGACTTTGAAGCTGAAAACTCCAGTCATGGCCTACCGGCCTCCTCTGCTGAAACCACCCCGACCACGGCCGCCGCCGAAGCCACCACCTCCTCTCGGCGCACCACGGCCACCACCGAAGCCGCCGCCGCCGCGACCGCCTCCACGACCACCGAAACCACTGCCGCCGCGGCCTCTGGGAGCACCTCCGCGGCCACCAAAGCCACCACGGGGGCCGCCACGACCACCTCTTGCCGGGCCACCACGGCCGGCACGCTTGACCTTGGGCGCACCTGGGGGAGGCTTCGGCTTAGGCAGGAACTTCTCCAACGGCAGGAGCTTCTCGGATCCGATGTAGAACTTGTCGCCCTCCTTGAAGGAAGTGGCTTGGATACCCTCGGAGGGCTTGATGGTGAAGTAAACCTGGTTGATGGGTCCGAGGACTTCGTCGACCTTGCCAACGGCAGTCTGTAAAAATGTCAGTCGAGTTTTTCTTCTTCTTTCGCTTCTTGAATCGAGATTAGAATCGCCCAAGGAGATGTCGCACCTTGTTCTCGAGGAAGATCTGGGCGTTGAAGTGAGGGACCTTGGGGTTGATGCTCTCGCAGATCATCTCGCCTTCACAAGCGTGCATGAACTTGCCCATCTCTACACAAAAAATGACGGTTAGAGTACTGTTGTAGTACAAGACAGCGGGAAGGTGAGAAAGCATACCAAGAATCGTCGCGGGCGGGCCCATGTCTCTGTTCTGGAAGCCACCACGGCCTGTGAAGTCAAGTTAGTATTGTACTTTGAAATTTCCGTCACCAGACAGAGCCAATCTGCAAGTGCATTGGAATAAGGAAATGCGAAAGTCATTGCATACCTCCAAAACCGCCGCCGCCGCGACCACTGAAACCACCACCGCCGCGACCGCGCGGAGCTCCTCGTCCGAATGACATGTTGATATGTGGATTGGCGGGTTGTCGTTCGGAGCTGCTCGTGTACTGAGTGCTTCGTGCTGCTATTGAAAAATCGAAGCCATCGGGTAGCCGACAGAAAATTTCCCAGCGACCAAATTGTGGTGCAGGCCAATCGAGCTACCTCATTGGCTACAGCTGGCGGGCCGGAACAATCCCTTCCGGGTGACCCCGCCAAAATTTCCAACGGCCAGTGCCACCCGACTGCTTCCAGCCCACCTGCCTCACTTGAGGGCCATTGGCGGGGTGGTGGGTGCCACTGCAGGGAGTGCGGGCCAGACACCACCAGAAGGTCGTCCGAACACCTTGTTTGACTCACCGTAGGCTTTGGCGGGGTTGCTTTGCTGTGTTTCGCCCAAATTTGTTTGACACGAAATTCGACCTTCGTGTGCCTTCATTCTTCCCAACCCATACTCTTCTCACGCCCACCGCGACCGCTCAATTGGACGACATTATGGATTCCGCGAAGCAGGCCGTCGAGGCCGTTACCGAGGGCGTCAAGAAGGTCGCCCTTAACAAGGACAAGGCGCCCAAGAAGGAGAAGAAGGCCAAGGATGCAGGCGATGCCTCGGCCGGACCCCTCGAACTCAACCCTCCCCCCGATTTCCTCCAGAAGAGACTCGACCTTTTCGACAAGTTGAAGAAGGAGTACGATGAAGAGCTCGCCAGCAGGCCACGCGAGGCCATCACCATCACCATGCCCGACGGCTCTATCCGCCAGGGCACCAGCTACGAAACGACCCCCGGCGAAATCGCGAAGAGCATCTCCAACAGCCTGTACAAGCGCACCGTTGTCGCAAGACTTGACGGCGACCAGAACCAGTTGTGGGACTTGGATAGACCCCTGGAGAAGAGCTGCAAGTTGGAGTTGGTGAACTTTGACGACGAGCAGGGCAAGCAGGTCTTCTGGCACAGCTCTGCACACATTCTTGGCGAGGCTTGTGAGAGGAGATTCGGATGCTCTCTGTGCATCGGTCCCCCGGTCGATAACGGTTTCTATTACGAGATGGCGCTCCCCGGCGGCGCTTCTGTCCAGGCTAGCGACTGGAAGCCCCTCGAGTCCCTTGTTGGATCGATTGTGAAGGAGAAGCAGAAGTTTGAGCGTCTTGAGCTTACCAAGGAGCAGCTGCTGGAGATGTTCAGCTACAACAAGTACAAGCAACACATCATCAACGACAAGATTCCCGATGGTACCAAGACCACTGTCTACCGCAATGGTCCTTTGATCGATCTTTGCCGTGGACCCCACGTTCCCAGCACCGACCGTATCGAGGCTTTCAGCATCATGAAGAACAGTGCTTCCTACTTTCTCGGTAACCAGGAGAATGACTCGCTGCAGCGAGTCTATGGTGTCAGTTTCCCCAGCAAAAAGGAGCTGACTGCGCACAAGAAGTGGCTTGAGGAGGCAGCTGCCCGTGACCACCGCAAGTTGGGCCAGGACCAGCAACTCTTCTTCTTCCACGAGCTCTCCCCCGGCAGTGCCATGTGGCTGCCCCACGGTGCGCGTATCTACAACACCCTCCTGGCTTACATCAAGGAGCAATACTTCAAACGCGACTACCACGAGGTTATCTCCCCCAACATGTACAACGCAGAATTGTGGAAGATCTCCGGCCACTGGGACCACTACAAGGATGACATGTTCGTCCTCGATGTCGACAAGGAGAAGTTCGGCTTGAAGCCCATGAACTGCCCTGGTCACTGCCTCATGTTCGCTCACACCCCCAAGGCGTACCACCAGCTGCCGTGGCGTGTTGCTGACTTTGGAGTCCTTCACCGCAACGAGGCCAGCGGTGCCTTGTCCGGCCTCACCCGTGTGCGCAGATTCCAGCAGGACGACGCTCACATCTTCTGCAGAGAAGATCAGATCAAGTCTGAGATCAGCGACTTGTTTGACTTCCTCAGCGAGATGTACGGCCTGCTTGGTTTCACCTTCAAGCTCCGTCTCTCCACTCGCCCAGACAAGTACTTGGGAGAGCTTGAGACATGGAACAGGGCGGAGGACATGCTGAAGCAGGCACTTGACGAGTTCTCCGCCACAGATGGCGGTGTGCCGTGGACTATTAACGAGGGTGATGGCGCCTTCTACGGCCCCAAGATCGACATCAAGATCCTGGACGTCTTGAACCGTGAGTGGCAGTGTGCCACCATTCAGCTGGACTTCCAGCTTCCTCAGAGCTTCGGTCTTGAGTACGTCTCAGCGGAAGTGAACACCAAGCCTAAGGAAGAGGAGGCCCCTGCCGCTCCCAAGGTCCCCGAGTTCAAGGCCAAGGACCCTCAAGCCATCATCGACTCAGCTGCCGGCACTGGCGAGGAGAAGGAGAAGAAGCGCGTCATCAAGCCTTTGACAAATGGCTGCCAGCGCCCCGTCATCATCCACCGTGCCATGGCTGGATCCATTGAGAGATTCACAGGTAAGAATTGCAGATGGTATATCGCTTGAGTATCGCTGATGTCGGTGTCACAGGTATTCTCATCGAGCACTTTGCCGGAAAGTGGCCCTTCTGGCTCAGCCCTAGGCAAATCATGGTCATCCCTGTTGGCAAGGGCTTCGTCGAGTACGCCGAGGAAGTCCAAGCTACCTTCAAGAAGCAGGGCATGTGGGTGTAAGTAGTCTTCCGCTCCCCGCATTGATGTGGAATGTTTTCGCTAACTCAAACCTCTCCAGCGATGTCGACACTTCCGGCAACACGTTGCCCAAGAAGATTCGCAGCGCTCAGTTGAGGTACGGACAAACAAACACCCTGCATTGCTATTGGAGTGGGTTATACTAACTTGCGTAGCCAATACAACTTCATTTTCGTCGTTGGTGACGAGGAGATGAAGAACAAGCAGGTCAACATCCGCTACCGTGATGACACTTCAAGCCAGGACCGTGGTAAGCCCGTTGACGTTGCCGAGGCCGTTGAGAAGATCAAGAAGCTGCGCGAAGAGCGCGGCACCTATAACCCATTCCCCTCCGTGGTGAAGCCCAAGGAGGACAAGGCATGAACGTAAGAGACGGAGCATGGCTTTTTTCATGACAAAATGAATTTTGAAGATGGTGTTTGGGTGGGTGGTGAAACATTTTGCAATTTGTAGCCTAGACTAGAGGCGCAAATCGTATCCCTGGATGTGGAAACAAAATACGAAAACTTGAGTTCCGAATGATGCAATGGACTACAATCGAGTGACAAGGAAAGCAATTGGTTGTAGAATTTGGGGTATTATGCGTATTGTATTTTCGCGTGCGCGCTTAGATGTGTATCTCTGTGCTACAGACGTTCGTTTCTTTAGTCTACTCGACTAATAGTTCCCGCTCCGTGTTGTTCACCCATGGCCTCGCCTCGTATACTTCCGCAGCGAAAGGCTAGTTCATGATTCTTGTTCTCGCTGCACAGACAGATCATACCCGCTCCCCTCTCATTCTCATTTTTTTTTGCCTTGGAACACGAATCGGGGGCGCAAGCAAGCAAGTCTCCAGGACCAGGACAGACTCTTGCTTACTTAGCTCCATGTGTGTCCGCAACAGCGAAGAGACACACGCTCAAGGCTTAGGGATATGAATGCTCTTGCTGGTCATGAGGCATCCGTGCACGATGAACACAAGAGCAATGGGGTGGAATTCCAGAGCAGTTCCCGACAGCCATGTTCCGAGAGGAAGGTCCTGGAGAATCCAACGCTGAGACACCAAGTACGCCATCACAGCGTCGAGGCCAAGACTCGTAGGGATGGGAGTGCCTTCGAAGTATTTGCTTTTTCCAGTTGCGTCCTTGGGAAGAGCGGCGACGGTTACGTTGAAGCGAGCGAGGCGAGTGAGGCCGCAGAGGACAAAGAAAGTCAGGCAAAGGTGGTCGATGGGTGTGCGCAAGCCAAGGGCAAAGGCCACAGACGCAGGAGCGACGCCGAAAGAGATCTATGCCATACGTTAGCCGTGTCTCCAATGGCCTTTTCCAACGCAATTCCGTCCGCAGAGATCCTTCAATGTCTGCCTAGGGTTCTAGACGTAGGCAATCGACCTAGGGTAAAAGAACTTAGTCGCTTGGGAACGTACCAGGTCAGCCAGAGAATCAAGCTCTTGGCCCATCATGCCGCTCTTCTTTCTCCACCGCGCAACTTTGCCATCCATGAAGTCGAAGAAAAGGCCGAATGGCAGGAAGGAAAGAGCGAGGTACAGCGTGCTGGTGGACGAGGGATCGCCGAGACAGTAGCGGAGAGAGGTGAAAATTGACATGACACCACAAGCTCCTATTCCATAGTAAGTCAGCATTGATATTCTCCTCGAAATATACTATTATCGCCTTGGGGTGCATCCGGTCTCGGAAGACGTTTTTCGCTTGTGACAATGTGCGGAAGAGGCTGGGGATATGTAAGACCGTACCATTACAGAGGGTGATTGCGTCGGCGAGGTGGAGGGCGCGGATCAGAGAAAAGTGACCAGGATCGGACGAGAGAAGGAGATTCTGCTTGTCGTAGGCTGCATTGAAAGCGATGGGTTAGCTCAGGTCGCATCTCAAGAGGGCGGTGCGGGCAACATACTGGGCTCGGCAAAGCTGTCGACAGCATCTTTGGCTGCCTTGCCGTTGGTGGCTACGCTGCTTGTCCGTTTCGACATGTTTGGTCGGGGCTTTCCCTGGAGCTAGCAGTGTGAACTATGAAGACGTTGTCGGAGGAGAGCGATGTTTTTGGTATGGCCGTTTAGCTTCGTGATTTTTTCTCGGTCCTTTGGGAATCTCGACAGTGGGCGTTAAAGGGAAGGGTGTTGACCGAGAGATAAGAGGTCGAGGGGATTGAGCTACTTTTTGTACGCAGCAGTTTCGTGGAGTGG